CCTTCATACGGTAGCGGCTATGGCGGTGCTGCTGCTCCCTCCTACGGTGGTGGTGGTGGTGCTGGCTACGGCGGCGGCGGTGGTAGCTACGGCAACCCCTCCGGCTCCTCCGGCCCCTCTTCCTGGTGGTAAATCAGTCGTGGTCTTTTGACGATGCCCTCGGGTCTGATTGGCTCCCTTGCTTTATTTTCTTTTGTCTCTCGTTGACGGATACGATCAGATTGAGTCCCTGAGTTCTTTTCTACCTGTGCTATCTCTCAGGGACGGCTTTGTCATGACTGCACGACTTTCTTATGCTTGTTTTAGATTCATATTTTCCACGTTTGCGTATGCTTTAATCTGGTTTCCTTTGTTGTTCCTCTCATGTCTCTCTTCGCTGATTCCATCCATGGCTTTTCAATATTGCTTTGTATGGATACGAGGCATACGCGCAGTCCGGTCTTCTTTTCTTGCCCCGAGGAGGCACTACTCTCTTCGGGCAACTTATGATCGAAACTGCATGAACATCATAGAATGCGTTGTCTTTTTTTTTTTTTTTTCCTATGTCCGCTCTCGTCAGATACCCCTTATGTTCGAGCATCCCCACTGGGGACACGTTCGAGTGACGCGCGTGCGCCGAGCGGAGATTGATGACTTTTCATCATCTCGAAAAGTTCTCTTTTTCTCTTCGCATTCATCTTCGGTGTTGTTATGGCTGCATGCATCATATGCAGCATAGACTTTTTACAGCGTCGGTATCTCATGGCGGACATTTGTTTCTGTTGCTGCCCTCGTGCGTTCTGCGATCGATTTTCGAAAACACAAACCTGCGCTTTCTTTCTCCGGGCTTTTTCGGATACTGGTTATCTCGCCGTTACATCACACGGCGCGGCTGGTGTTTTTCGAACCCAAAAAATGGGTATTCTTTGCATTCTGTATGGCGTTGACTTGACCTGCAACTGCATGTCCTCCGCTATCTGGTCCGTGGAGGCTGATTGTCTCCGAATAGGAGCATCTTGCTTCATTTCCTTGTCTATTCTGATCATTTTTCTCGGACCTCGGGGAATAGGACGCTGTCGCCGCTGGAAGAATGGGTATACTTATGAATTATCGGGTTCAAATTGGGAAGGAAAAAAACGAACCAACGGCCCTGAGATGGCCACGAGAAGGGAAGTTCTCTTATCCAATGAAAAGTGTTTCCAACTTTATATTTTAGCGTGTAACGATTTAAGTAGGATTCCAGTATATGTAGGATGTAGGGTTAATAGTCTAATATCTAAAGAGCATATAAAATGACACCCGGCCGAATGTGCTAATGATATATATCAAACTACTTAACTATTGCCTAACTAGGTAGATGAATGTCTTATTAACATACTATTTTAACTAGTTACTAACTAATTAAATGCCTATAAATTGCAAAATCCAAATGCGTGGCATTAGGCATAGCCGCATATTAAACGCGTTCTCTCTGATACGGGTAGATATCACACCAGCTATACCTTCATGGGCCACTCGGCTCTGCTTTCTTCCTCTTTTTCCGGCTTTTGAACTTCATTTTCCCTTTTCCCTTTTTCACTTGGCACTCCTTTTCACTTTTATCCTTTCTGTTTTTGTTTCTTTTTTTTCTTTATACCACTTCTGCCTCTTTCATCGGCCGCCTCCTAGGGGGCACTTCATATTACAACCTGCGATTCTCCTACAATCTGATTGCGCACCTGTTACCGGTTTCAATCATCTAAAAATGGCCGATTTCGAAAATAGCATGATGGACGAGTCCTTCGCGGCTTCCGAAGCTGCGGATGATCAGTCTCACGGCATGACCGCCAGCGCGACGGTCGGTACAAGGCGGCAAGCGAACGGCACAATTGGCTCTGTCTACTCCGGTAACAAGATTCGACACCTGAAGAAAGATGATGGCATACCTCTATGGCGCAAAGATATCCAGTACCAATTCCTGAAGCTGGTCTTTGAGGATAAGACACCCGTCTTTACGCGGTATCCCGACGGGCAGAAGGGAATGGACTTCGCGGATGTCTACATTAATGCAATGGCCCGGAGCAGCAAGACCAGCAAAATTCTAAAGGATAAACTGCAGAACGACAAACCTGCAGCTATCAATATGGCTATGGTCTGTCTGCTGGTGAATTTCGGTCGCATGAACACTACACTGAACTGTACGCTTGCAGCTATGTCATAACATTACTTTACTTCCGTGCTAATCGCTATTGTTCTGGTTTCTAGTCTTTCCCGAAATGCGTGCTCAACTCCGAACCTACCACTCAATCCCCTCACTACAAGCGCATCAGGATTCCAATGCCTACAAGCAGCTGCAGGATGCTCCTCGTCTCAAGTCCATCCTCAAGGGCGCTTCAGAGGATGTAGACCAACCGAATACCCTGGAAAAGATTAAGCGACAGAATATACCCCGGACCAACCCAGTGAACTTGATATTTGTTCTGGCACAGTACGCCCCCAAAGTGTCAGAAACACACTTCTTTCCTCCGCGAGACTTCTTCGACCTGGTCATGAGATCTACACTTAGCAGCCAAAGTCGCGCCAGGGCGTTCCTCTGGCTGATGTGGTGGTATCTAGAGAGTGATTTCAGTCGCGAGGCTGCTTTGAACAATCCCTTTGGTCCGGGTGTGGAAGGCGAGGGTTCGGAGGGTCTCCCTTTGAAAGTACCTGCCTTTGATATCCTGACAGAGGAACAGGCCACTGAAGAGAATTTGGATACACCTGAGGAACAGGAATACGGAGAGTCCAAAAGATTAGAACGCAAGCGTACGCGTGCCTACTTCTGACTATTGAAAATGGGAACCCGACTAACACTTAGTACAGGCATTCTAGAAGAAGAGGAACCACTGCCGCGCATTCCCAAGCGACCCAAGAAAGGTAAGCTCGGCTTTCCGGATAACTATCATATATACACGTCCTCAGAGCGCTAACCTTCCCTAACCGCAGAATACGGCTTTGACGAGGAATCATTCGCAGGAGACTATTCTGGTATGGGAGGTCATGGCTCTGCTATGTCCACCCCTCTCCACCCTTCTGCCAAACGCAGCTTGGATGATGAGGACGATGAAATGACCCCTGGTAACTCTCGTCCCCGCCCTAAACAGGCCAAGCGGGAATCATCACTTAATCGGGCCGTGGGCCAACAACGACTCATATTGAAAACGAGGATGGAACATACTCCCGATGCCTCCCCTGCTCCTCCGGGCCCCAACCATCCAGTCCTTAACCGCTTTATTACCGAACCTTCGCTTTCTTCAGCCCCTACTATGCGTCGAATGCGGCCACTTACACAGCACCAGATAGCCGTCGAGCAAAATCGTCGGCAGAGGATTGATTATCTGCTGGCCAAACGTAAATCAAACGCATACCGTGTTCTTCGTGCTAAACGGGAGAGTGAGATTCCTTTCGCACGATACGGTCGCTTGCTTCAGGGTTTGCCCGAGGGCTACGATACAGATGATGAAGAGACCTCGTGGGGCAAGGGTGGTCTCTTCCCAAACCCGGAAGAAGAGGATGACTTTGGAGAATGTGCAAACGTCTTTCTCTCTGTAGTGCGAAAAGCTGCCCGCCGACTCGATCGCTGGGATTACACAGAAGCCAATGGCCCCAAGAAGGATCGCAAGAGGGAGCGTGAGGAGCGATATCAGGCCAAGGTGGCCCTAGAAGCTGATGTGCGAAGCTCCAACAACCGATCCCGTCCCCGTCCCCGCCCCAGTGCTGCTGCCAAACGGAAGTCTACTGGTGTAACGGGCACTCCTGGCACTACCAAGAAAGCTGCAGCGTCACATGCGAAGGGCAGCCACGGCCATCCTGATGGTTTGGGGGCCGTGCCATCGGCTATGGGTACCCCAACCTGGGACCCGGAGCACGGACCCGATGACTACATGGAGGGGGAGCTGGACGATCTCGACCGTGAACTCCTTGGTGAAGTTTCTGGCGAAGAAGATGATGGAGGTGCCCCTCTCCGAGCCGATGAGGAAGGGGACTTCTCTGATGATCAGGACGATGAAGACGACGTGGACGGTGACGAAAATTCCTCTAACTATGAAGGCGCCAATGGTTACGCACGACATGAAGCTTCGTCCCCTCCCCGGAGGGGTCCAGCTGACCCACACGGGGAAGGGTATAGAGACGACGCGATGGAAGACTAATAGGGTTGGCGTTTTTCTTTTCTTTTCTTTTTTTTCTTTGGAAATCTTGTGTATCACGATCTACTGTTTCCTATGTCTTTTTCTCCTGTGTTCTAGGCGTATCATTCCCTTTCGGAATGGTTGTATTAAGTCAATTCCATCCAAGCCCTTGATATATAAGTGGCTAGTACTACCTCAGACATCCGATGCTGCATGTCTGCATGTGATAATTTCCCCCCTCTTTCTCCTCTATACATCTGCCCACCTCCATAGCTTTGGAATTGTTTCCTTTCGACACACACACACACACACACATATATATATATATATCCCCATTCAAAGCAAAAGCTCGATCATACGAGTACGAGAATCTAGTCTCAGAGTGGATACAATTGCTGCAGAGTGGTGCGGCCAACAATTACGAAACGAATTCCTAAGGCCAAAACTTGTTGAGACACTTCATATTTGGACTATTTTCTTCTTCTTTCTCTTCCTGAATTCACCCCGAGTCAGCTTGAGATAAATAGTAAGGTAACCCTTGCTGCCCAATTGCTCCGAAGAAGTTTATATTTCCGGTAAGCGTCATATCCCGCTAAGCTGCCCCATTCTCCGTTCTCCGTTCTCCCCTTTCCCCATATTTACACATTTCGCCTCTGACAAATCCCAGACGCCCACAAAGCATCTTGTACAATATACCAAAGCTCTACCTACAACATTGGGACCACCTGGCCGCGTGGGACGAACAAAATACAGTTTGCTTTTTTGTTGCGCCGGTCATCGCAGACTCTGTTTTTCCTCCAGAGAACCCAACAGAAACGACGAACCTTGAAATCAACACACGACCACGAACTAGAACTCGCCCATTTACCCATCATGACCGAACAGCCTCGCATCCTGCGTCCGCGACCGAGACGACCATTCGACCTGACGCCCGCTTCCACGGAGTCATCCGGACCTTCAACACCGGCCGAGTCAACAGGCACCGAGTACCTGAACCCGCAAGCAGACGCATCGAACTCAACGAATGTGAGCCGCACAGGATCAGTGATGAACCTGACCTCGTCGACACTGTACGGCATCTACTCGCCGACGGCATTCGAAGGGTTTCGCGACGAGTCCAGCCCCTGGGGCACGGAGGCCAACAGCCCAGCGGCGGAGTTCCCTCCCGAGCCATTGCAGCGCGCAGCAGAGAAATCGGCCATAGATCCGCGGCGGATGGCGCTGCGGAGGACTCGGTCTCGGTTGAGCCATGGGTTGTTCCGGGGCGTGATCTTGCCGCAGGCATTGAGCAGCGTGCTACTCTTTGGATTTGGTCTTGCTTACGGTGTGATCACCGTTCATCTTCATGATAACCATTGGATTACGCCTGTCAAGCTGGAGAATATTCATTACTACAATTCATGGCAGTACCTGGGCTTCTGGGGTTTGGCTGGTATTGCTCTGGGTAATCTGCTTCCTTGGCTGGATAGCTGGCGTGAGAGCGAGTCTGATTCGAAGCTTGCGAGTGCCAATGAGGAGGACAGTGAGGATCGCACCCCGTCCTGGGTTACTGTTGCTCGCAGTGTTGGAGCGTTTGTCGGAATTGCATTTGCTATGGTAAGTGGATTAGGTGTTGTTCTCTACACTAACCGTTTTTCTCTATTTATATGGGACGACGCTAACATTTGGTTTTTTTTTTTTAGCGGAGACTCCCTTTGGGAATCCACCACACAAGCATCCTTGACCCTCGCGCTCGCGAACCCCGTTCTCTGGTACCTGATTGACCGCACCACGACTGGCTTCGTCCTCTCAACCACCGTTGGTCTGGCCGGCATGGGGGTGGTTCTTGGCCTCAAGCCAGAGCTTGTGCCCATATCGACCGGCCCATCATTCGGCGCCAGTGTTCTGAATGGAACAGGACTGGAGAATGTGCTGGGTGCAGGCATCACACAGGAGAGCATTGCGGTCCGCACTTGGGTTGCTAGTGTCATTTTTTGCGCGTGCGTGTGCTTTGGAAACGTTGGCCGTCAGCTTGCCATCGGATCTGGCGTTAGAGATGTCATGAAGCCATGAGGCTCGAAAAGCGCCTGGTTTTTCTCAGCATTGAGCACTCGAGCTTCACTGGGGAACGGCCTATATGGAGGGCACGGAACGTTTAATGTACATTTGAAATAATTTATGGCTCTGATAAAGATTTTTAATAGAAATCAGCTCTGCCCTGACTTGATTCGCTACGCAAAAAGCCGTACTTTTGTCTTTGGTTATATATACGGAGTAGAAAAGTCCATTTCACAAATTAAGCCCTTTCCCGCCTTCTACTGCTATCTACAACATGGGCAAATTGGGATGTCCATTAAAAGTCATATAAGCGGACATAAGGGCACTATTTGCAAAACATCGCCAAACTATTCTTGTACGAGATAATTTTACAGAACCCTGATGCTTACGATGATTACAAGCGAAATTTCGAAAAGACTCAAAATAATATTTGATATTTTTGATTGGTATGTAGAATCAATCATTGCAATCCCTACTACATGACCGAGGTCAGCAGGCACTGCACCCAAGATCGACACCTTTGCCAGTTGGCACTTGGTCTCCATTCTCTATACGATTTCCGTACTTCATCAGACGAGTCTTCGTAGGAACGCTTTTTGAGTAGAATGTGAGTTTTGCGTTGTTCATGAAGAGAAAAAAAAGAAAGAGAAGATGGCGCTTCTGAGAAATCTCTTATGTATCCCAAGATCACGTGCTACGCTAAGGCCATCTTCAAAATGCCAGTCTCTGATTGGCTGATAATATAGTGGGCTGAGGTCGATCACGTAATACACCTTTTTGCTATCGAGCCCCGCCGCCGCAATCGGTCCGACCCCGCGAGTCATATTTTCTTCTTTTTCTTCTGTTCGTCATTTGTTATACCCTCTTCGCTTGTTTTAGGTATGTTATTCGATTCCTGATATCAATTGCTTTCAATTGTGGGTTGGATTTGAGAATTTTATTATCTAACAGACCTAGTGTCGACTGTCGGATCCATCATGTCTCAACAAAAGACTGGTATGTCCCTCTTAGCTTCATAGTTCCCCGGACTATATGATATTATTTGTCCCAGGCAGTTCAAGTTCAATTCTAATATGCCTAATTCGGGATTGAATAGCTATCATCTCCGTCTATGACAAGACTGGTCTGCTTGACCTGGCCAAGGGTCTGGTCAAGCAGGAAGTCCGTCTTCTCGCATCTGGCGGTACCGCTAAGATGATCCGTGAGGCTGGATTCCCTGTCGAGTGAGTTACGTCTTGTCGTCAATGATGCAACGAAGCGTTATATTCAATATATAGCCCCGGAACTGACAGTTTATTTCAGGGATGTCTCCGCCATCACCAACGCCCCCGAGATGCTCGGTGGCCGTGTTAAGACCCTCCACCCCGCCGTGCACGGTGGTATCCTCGCCCGTGATATCGAGTCCGACGAGAAGGACCTCGCCGAGCAGAAGATCTCCAAGGTCGACTACGTCGTCTGCAACCTGTACCCCTTCAAGGAGACCGTCGCTAAGGTCAACGTCACCATCGATGAGGCCGTGGAGGAGGTCGATATTGGCGGCGTGACTCTGCTCCGCGCTGCGGCCAAGAACCACAAGCGTGTGACCATCCTGTCAGACCCCCGCGACTACTCTGATTTCCTCAAGGAGCTCGAGGCTGGCGCCATCAACGAGGCTAGCCGCAAGTTGTTCGCCCTCAAGGCATTCGAGCAGACTGCCGACTACGACTCCGCTATTTCTAGCTTTTTCCGCAAAGAGTATGCTGGCAACGGTCTGCAGCAACTCTCTCTGCGCTACGGTACCAACCCTCACCAGAAGCCCGCCTCTGCCTACATGGTTCAGGACAAGCTTCCCTTCAAGGTCCTCAACGGTTCTCCTGGTTACGTTAACCTGCTCGATGCCCTGAACGCCTGGCCTCTGGTTAAGGAGCTCAAGCAGGCTCTTGGCTTCCCCGCCGCTGCCAGCTTCAAGCACGTTTCCCCCGCTGGTGCCGCTATCGGTGTGCCCCTGAACGAGAAGGAGCGCAAGGTGTACATGGTGGACGATATCAAAGATATCGAGACCTCGGGTCTGGCTCAGGCTTACGCTCGTGCCCGTGGTGCTGACCGCATGTCCAGCTTCGGTGATATCCTGGCCCTCAGTGACATCGTTGATGTCCCCACAGCCAAGATCATCTCCCGTGAGGTGTCCGACGGTGTCATCGCCGCCGGCTACGAACCAGAGGCTCTGGCCATCCTCTCCAAGAAGAAGGGCGGCAAGTACCTTGTCCTCCAGATGGACGAGGACTACACCCCGGCTCCCGAGGAGACCCGCACCCTGTACGGTGTCCAGCTGACCCAGCACCGTAACGACGTTGTCATTTCCCCCAGCAAGACCTTTAACACCGTCATCACCCCCAAGAACACCACCTCCCTCCCCGAGGCTGCTCTCCGTGACTTGACCGTGGCCACCATTGCCCTCAAGTTCACCCAGTCCAACTCCGTCTGCTACGCCCTGAACGGTCAAATCATCGGCCTGGGCGCCGGCCAGCAGAGCCGTATCCACTGCACCCGTCTGGCCGGTGACAAGGCCGACAACTGGTGGATGCGCTTCCACGAGCGCGTCATCGGCATCAAGTGGAAGCAGGGCACCAAGCGTGCTGACAAGTCCAACGCCATCGACCTGCTCTGCTCGGGCCAGACCCCCCGCACCGACGCTGAGACCGTCGAGTACGAGCGTGTCTTCGAGGAGGTCCCCGCTCCCTTCACCCAGGAGGAGCGTGAGGCTTGGCTCCAGAACCTCGGCGAGGTCGCTGTCTCGTCCGATGCCTTCGTAAGTAATTCCCTTCTATGTTCGCGTGGTAAATGGGCAAATGCTAATTGTCTCCTCTAGTTCCCCTTCATCGATAACGTCTTCCGTGCTGCCCGCTCAGGCGTCAAGTACATTGCCGCCCCTACTGGCAGCCAGAACGACACCCCCGTCTTCGAGACTGCCGAGAAGCTGGGCATCACCTTCGTCGAGCAGGGCGTCCGTCTCTTCCACCACTAGATTGTTCTACTGGTTGTCGTCTTTCGGTGTCCTTTTCCTCTTTCCCCTTTTCCCCTCTCCCTTTTTCCTCTCGTAAAAAAAAAAGATGCCATCTCGGTGGTTCCGTTCCCACTGGTGGATATTCGTATGATGATGATGTCAGGTTTTCCTTTATGATTTAGATAAATTTATATATATTTTTCGGTACTCGTGCTATATAGTAGTTGTTACATTAAATTAAGCCTTTACCTCAACAACGAGAAGGCGAATCAGGTAAGAGATGTCCCTGCAAAGACATTGGCCTAATGTGTCGCAATTAGGGTTGCCTAGAACAGAAGCTTGGTTTTTTTTTTAACTCACAATCGATCCTCAAGTCTGAATCACTTTATCGTCTTCTCCCGTGGGTGTCCTCGTTCGGCCTAAAATGAACCGTTACAACATCGAATGATTTCTCCGTCGGAGCTCCGCTGAAGCGAGGGGGTGATCATCAACCTAGCACGCCTCCTGAGATAAGACAAAAAGCACACACACCGAGCACCTGGGCAAATCCAAGCAATAGCCAAGCAATGACACACAGCATTGGCAGAATGAATAGAAATTGCGATTGTCCTCCCTCTTGGGCTATTCCAGAGCCATCCATGTTGACATCCCCAGCCGTCCTACCGGGATGTTGATATGTCTAGTGTCGAACATTTAATCGCGCTTTCTTTGTCTCAAACATCATGCAGATACTGCAGACTATATCCAATCAGATCTGCCAAATTTGATTAGTACTTTTTCGTCATCTCAGATGGGGAAATTAGTGTTGCAATCATACCATTGTGATTAGCTGCCCCCGCGTGTATATCAGGGGGAAAATCCCCCTGCCCTTGAAAGATGGCCAGGTACCATCGCATCTCTATTGTTTCTCGAGATGCTCGTACGTCAGGTTTGTGTCGCTCTGGCGATTGCTGCTCTTTCTGGAGCTGTCCCAGCACCAGTGAAACATGTCTTGCATGAAAAGCGAAGTGAGCATGTGGATTGGGTGAAAGGTGAGCGCATTAAGCGCGATTCTGTGCTGCCTGTGCGCATTGGTCTTACTCAGAATAACTTGGAGAAGGGTGATGAGTATCTCATGGCTGTGTGAGTTGTTTTCTTATGTGTGTGTGTGTGTGTGTGTAGCTTCACGTTATGCGTGGTTACTAATATTTATATAGTTCTGACCCGAGCTCTCCCAAGTATGGACAGTACTGGACTTCAGAGGAAGTTCATGATTTGTTCGCTCCTTCAAAGGATTCGGTTGACTCTGTTCGTCGATGGCTTGAATCTTCTGGGATTCATGGATCCCGCATTGTACACACCGATAATAAGGGATGGTTGGCTTTTGATGCCTATGCTCATGAAGTAGAGGCTTTGTTTAAGGCTGAGTTCCATGAACATGAGCATTCTAGCACTGCCAGCCTTAAGATTGGCTGCGAGGAGTAAGTTCTTGCGCTGCTTTGGACTGCTTTGGACTCTTTTGACGGTGTTAGGTATCACGTCCCTGAACACATCCAGACACACATTGACTATATTACTCCCGGTGTCAAGCTCAGTCCCATTGTCAAGAAGAAGCTCAGTTCCATTGACAAGAGGAGCACCATGGCGAAGCGAGCGTCGCACTTGGCTCATTCGAAGGCCACAGATGACTCTATCACAACCGCAGTTATTTCTGAGAAGGCGAAGTCGCTTCCTGCGGATCTCCAAAAATGCGGAACCCAGATTACTCCGGCCTGTATTAAGGCCTTGTACCATATCCCAGATGCCAAAAAGGCAGCTGAGGGCAACTCGCTTGGTCTCTACGAGCAGGGTGACTACTTCGCCAAGTCAGATATTGATCTCTACTACAAAGCCTATGCTCCTTGGATTCCTCAGGGCACTTATCCTATTCCTGCCTTGATTGATGGAGCCAACTTCTCGGTGCCTGATTACAGTCCGCTGAATGCTGGTGAATCGGATATTGACATTGACATGGCGTGAGTACAAACCATGGGTCCCCCACAGCTTGATTTTTTTTTTTTTTTTTTTGTCCTTTTTGCTAACAACACCAGTTTTGCGCTTATCTATCCCCAGTCCGTGACTCTTTACCAAGTTGATGACCAGATCTATGAACCGAAGGAGGTTGCGACCACCAACCTGTTTAACACTTTCCTTGACGCTCTCGATGGTGTATGTTATAATATTCCAAAAATCAAATGTATCTTGCTAATAAATCCAGTCTTACTGCACATATAGTGCCTTTGGCGAGACAGGCGACAACCCTGATATCGATGCAGTCTACCCCAACCCGAGCGCCGGTGGTTACAAAGGTAACATACCATTTCCACCAACCAGACTGATCTTCACTCACACAATAACAGGCCAACTTCAGTGTGGTGTATACAAGCCCACAAACGTGATCAGTGCTTCCTACGGTCAAGCCGAAGCCGATCTCCCCGTAGCCTACACCAAGCGCCAATGCAACGAATTCCTCAAGCTCGGCCTACAGGGCCACTCCATCCTCTTCGCCTCCGGCGACTACGGCGTGGCCTCGTTCCACAACGACGGAGCCGCCAACGGATGTCTAGGACCCGAGGGAAAGATCTTCAACCCGCAATACCCCTCTAACTGCCCCTACGTGACCTCTGTCGGAGGAACCATGCTCTACGCCGATCAGACCGTCAAGGATGCTGAGAGCGTGATGCACGTTGACTTGGGTGGTACTTCCGCCAACTTCAGCAGCGCCGGCGGCTTCTCCAACTACTTCCCGCAACCTGAGTACCAGAAGAAAGCCGTGGAGAAGTACTTCAAGGACGCTAAGTTGACTTACCCGTACTACTCTGAGCTGGAAGTCAATCTAAATACGACAAACGGTCTGTACAACCGTATTGGTCGTGCTTATCCTGATGTTTCGGCTAATGGCGCCGTGTTCCCTGCTTACACTAATGGAAGCCTGAAGCACTACTATGGTTCTAGCTTGGCGTCGCCATTATTCGCTTCAGTTCTGAACTTGGTAAGTCGGGAGTTGGAATTTTGCTTGTTGATTGCGCTAATGACTTTGCTGGTAGATTAATGAGGAACGTATTCACAAGGGCAAGGGACCTATTGGTTTTGTGAACCCCGTGCTTTACGCTCACCCGCATGTTCTCAATGACATCACCAACGGCACCAATGTTGGATGCGGTTCGGACGGCTTCAGTGCTGTCCCAGGGTGAGTACAATCTTGTACATTGGATATGGGCTTTGTGCTGACCTACGATGCAGATGGGATCCTGCTACCGGATTGGGCACGCCTAACTATCCTGAGCTGAAGAAGCTGTTCTTGTCTCTTCCTTGAGATGAATAAGGTAGAGCTTGTGTGACAGACTTGCATACAAAGTGTCAAGAGTCACGTTACTGAACATCAAGAGTATCAAGTTACATATGTGCTCTGGACCGCTGTTATATTGGGATTTCTCTGATCCTCATGTCCAATTTATCCTTCTTTGTTTCATTTTTGGTTATTCATGTCTATATATGTCTATGTCTATATGTCCGAATTCAATGTGAGATGATTCTATATGGCAATTGATTTTAGTGTCACCTTGGAAACTGCATATCCCAACTATCGCATTTCCATTTGGCCAACGGACTAGGCCAAAGTTTTCCTTCCTCAAGAAAGTAAGCTCAATTCTCTTTTCATCGCATTCCTGTTATTGAATAAATAATTCCAACCCGGCAGGTGCATAGGTTACAGCTGTGCGGTAGGCTGCCGCCAGGGCTATCCTATTTCATCTAGGATTTAGGACAAAGAAAGTAAACAGAATACTTATATTCCAACTAGCTCAATTTTCTATGCCTACCAGAGTACTATTCAATAGCAAAGTATGGGGTATCAGAGCCGAGGAGGGCTAGAAAAGACCCCTCAAAGTCGACAGCATTCGAATCGGCCCCTGCATATAGCCTACAAGTAGTAATATCTGTCGGCTTACACAGCTGTTGGGAAATTATATGGAACTTATTTCAGAGATGAAGAATGTCCATTGACTCCTCTCCTCCTATATGCGTTTTGGTCCACTAGGATTTTCAACAGAATAGGTGTGCGTCGCATTTGTTCACTAATATAGACATGCCACCATATGCATGATTTCAGAACACTAAGAAGAGCCTTTCTAATAGCAAGACCATCATAAACCGTATAGTCCCTAAGTGTTATAATGTATTTGTGCTAAAGTACCCCAGATACTAAACTATCATCCTAGGCCACGGTAGTTAGAAGCTAGACTCTTAGAGCCAATCGCCATTTTCGACTGATCAAATTCCTCTGACTTGCTTCTCATTTTTCTCTTATATATTAATTATAAAATAATTCATTTAATTTACTACCTAGATGTTAGTTATGCTTAGCTTCGTCCTTTACTGTTGAAGCCCGAAGGGGATGCCCCGCCATCGAACTATACGCCAGGGTGGTCCGTGCGCGAGGATTTGTATAGCTTCAAATATCTATAAGCCGAGGATATAAAAACCCCGTTATTGTCCGCTACAGTAGTCAATTGACTGTCGGTCTCAAGTATAACAGTCCTAGGCAGGTCCCAACAACCGGATTGCCATTGAAAACGCCATTCGGGCGGTAGCGTAGAAAAGGCAATAAAAGTTGCTGAGGCTCCCGCTCAGGAGCTCGATCGGAGAAAAGCAGCCTTGGAAGTAAACAAAACCTTGAACAATCCCAACCACCCTCATCCACGTAAAGCAAATCCTGAGGCACCATGGCCTTGTATCCGATTGAAGAACTTCCTGTGAGTATGGTCCTTCGAAATTGAAGCCTAGAAGAGTAATTAACAAGAGTATATACACACAGCTCAGCGATGCTCCCATCGATCGCGAACCCACCCCGGGTTCCCCACCCACCGATGTCTACCAGCTGTTCCTGGCAGTCTACCACCGAGGCGAGCTCTCTATTGGCGAATACCGACAGCGCCTCGGCTATTCCTCCTATCACTGGGCTATCCTCGTCTATGATGTGAAACACAATCGCCACTATGCCTACGATGTGACTGACGGATCCTCGCCGGACCCGGTGATGCGACGCGACCTCAACCCGGACTACCAATGGACCTACCGCGTCAAGACCAACGTCGACCCGGAGTCGTGCGACTCTCTTCTCATCAGAATGGCAATCGGCGAAGTCCGCGACGGAATCGGCCCGGAGACTATCAAGCTCCTCCTTCAGTCTGTTCAGCTGCCGATTAAGGGTGCTTTTCCTCCTCAGAACTGCGTCAGCTGGATCAGGTCTGTTCTGTACAAGCTCCGGTTCCATGGCTATGCCCGTAACCTGCACGACATTGAGATGACTTTTGATCGTGCTCTCGCTTATGCCGATATTCGCTTGTCGGATCCTGACAATTCCATCAGTGTTCTCGATCACCTCGGTAATCATTTGCTTTACAGACCATACCAGGCATGAAGTGTGATATCTTGAAGGGATGTGCTTTGCTGGAGTCTCTGGTGACTGGTGTTGACTGGGCGTCTTGAGTGTCACTTGATCATCAACTGTTTGTTAATCTGAACGTGGCTCATTGAGCATGAATCAATTATCTTTATTTTAAGCTAGTGGTCTGTAGATGTTTTGTATTCATGTTGACGGTGCTAGATAATGCGGTAGGGTTAGCACTATCACGTGGCTTGGGTTCTACCACATATCGATGGACAAGTGAGTCTCCACGGGGACAAAGAGCCCAGGGATTGATCAAAGCACCGATCTTGTCCTGGACATTTGCTTCCCAGCTTTGGTTTCAACCCTACAGGTGCTTAGTACTTTGTTCCGATGAACTACGCATATGAGCACTGGATGTTGAGAATTATCAGAGCTACGATCTATAAAATATGTATTAGATACCGCTAACTATGAGGTACAAGCGGTCTCTGTCATTTATGTATAGCCGGTGAATACCTATTCAAATAGTGAGATTTCAATATTAGAGGTATAAAGAGAAGACCTAACTTTTAAATCAATGCAATTCTTTACTGCAGCAGAAAGTAGAATCGGATTTTACATATATAAATTCAACCCGTTTACTCGTTGACAAAAACTCCCGTCATCCAAGGGTTCTTGTTGGCCGTCTCGAACTTGGCTTTGGTACCACACGTAGACCATAATCATCACAACGCTGTCAAAAATATACATATCTTTTCATCTAGAATTACTTCCAGCACACCACAATCAAATAAATCCTGGTTCACGAACTGTTCGGAGTTTCACAGAGCAAAGCGCTCATACCAAGAGACATCATGTCTCAATACTCAAGAGCAGCATACGACGACTGGAACGATCAACTAGACAACACGTTTGGAAGACCAGAAATATCAAATACAAGACTCTTTAGCATTCGTGGAACCTTGAACATTTGACTTGAATATATATACCTTGAAGCCCCCCATGGTCTTTTCGTTGCGGTAAAATCTACGTTCTAGTAATTGCTCAAATGCTGGAATTGAATTAGATTCTTTATTATCTTCCCAAATACTGCTGAATACTTTCCCAATGAGCCACTGCACCTATTTGTAGTGAATCGCATCGTCGGTGCTGTCACGTGATGGACATAGAGATTCAACAATCCTGCTTCGTACCCCTTGACCACCATATCTACATATCTATCATCTTATCATCTGACAGAAATATGCAGTGCGACAATCTAACTTTATTGATATATTAGCAGCAGACAGCTCAATTCGAATAGATCTTAACAAATCTCCGGCGCAGCCGTTACGGCGCTACCCGCAACTCGAAAAGGCCTCAATGATCATGAGTCAAGGAACGGAGCATCAAAGTGAGTTATCGTAAATCTACACGGACGATTTCATCCGACCAGCCCCGTAGACATGTGCCGCATAGCCACCAACCCGCAACTAAACTCGATCTGGCGGAGGAAGGCGATCAGTTCCGAACACCGGCAACGAAGTCCCGAGCTCGAGTCACGTTTAGTTTTTGTTTTTTTTTTTGCGTGTCGATCACCCGTGAGTGATAGCGATAACTCCAACAAGTCCAACGTGGATTGGGAAATGCATACCATAGCCCATAGCATAAAGTGTGCACAGTGCGCGATCCACACGGATACGGAGCTCGGCGACGGAGTTGTTTTAACGCCGAGGACCGGAGGAGGGATTCTTCAGGCGCTTGCGAGCTACTTACCCAAGTAGGTATGAAGCAGGGATTCCAATGTGGTTTTATGCTGGTTATAAGCATGCATTGGTCCTTATCGGCCTCAACATATACCACGTCGCCTATTTTGGACGAATGATCAGCTTCTCGTCTATTCCGTCTTCCGTGCTTCCTCAATCTCAGTTCATCATGCAGTACTCCGTACAAAGTATGTTGTCGTTCACATCATTTCGCCCTGACAAGGCAATTGGGAACCTTGGAATCCACTTAATAGTCGTTCTCGCAACCCATTTCTAGGCGCTCAAAGATCCATCACTCGGCCAACGGCAACAAAGTCCTTGATGTCATATCTGTCAAGCATAGTGGATCTCGGGAAAATTAGCAGGGAAAATCCGAAAATCCGACATCGATTACTGGGCGTTCATTAAAGTGGTTGACAACCAGCCATGGCGTCGTTGGCCGATGATTACTGAATCATTATCTCCGGCTCCCCACAACATAGACCCTTAATCTAATTGTTCTGGACTTGCATCTAGATCTACCTGTTGACCTCATCGTTTCCTACTTGGGCAGTCCTCGTATTGGATTGATATTGCTAATATTGATGGAAGATATAAGAAAGATTACATGATGGAACCTCTTGGGAGAAGCCTAAAGCCTGAATAACCATGAAAAGACAAAAAAAAAAAAAAAAAACCGAGACACCTTCGTATTCGGGTATTCCATAGGGCTATGAAGTGGAGATTTAATGTTTCGAAACGGTAAGCCATGCGAGCGAACCACCTGCGCAGGTGGACATATTTAAGTGCTTAGGTCATCTAAATCTGCACGTGGATCCATGAACACATTCGGCGATATCCGGCATGGGCCTTACCTAATACGCCAAGATAGCTCTGGGAGAACCTTGGGAAGTCCCCAAGGCTGACATTTGAAAAACAGGACCTTCCAAGATTATCTTGACAAGTTTGAGGTCCGTGACGTACGCCAAACACGCTATCATGGTTCAGGTATGCAGTAAGGAATGTACATTGTACCTGTATCATGAAGCGAGAAACATCATAATATAACCCCTCCCTTGCAGGGCGCAGTGTCAGTCTGTTTTGAGCAGATTCTATGTGGGGGGCCAATAAGATCCGCCAATGCCCCATTGTGTATCACATGTGGAATGTAAAACGTACAACGTAAATTATACGTCCGTAGGTAACGCTGTATGTTGTAGAACTGCGCGATGAGCAAAGAATATTTATGGGCTATATACAGCATAGCGGTCTCATCCAGTGATGTTGGAATTATGTTGCCTCATGGCCTCTTAAGGATCCGTGCATGCCAATACTAGTTAGTAAGTAAGTACCTTCTTGGGCGTTCCCCACCACACAGCCTACTTATGCATGGATTCCTGGTTAATCTTGAATTCCTGGGGAATGCTAGTCTCTGTCAATGCTGCCAAGACTGGGTACTGGTCGTACTCGTCTAGGGGGACAGAGTACAGGCGAGGGGTAGTGTTGCATAATACAGGATACGTGTATGGAGCAAGGTGGCTTGGCTTCCAAGGTTCAATGCTCCTAGAGCCTCCATGCTGACATGCCAACTCATTGGATCTCGACACGTCGACAGGTCAAAGCAATTGTCAGCTACGGTAATTGTCAGCTATGGGGGATATTATCTCATGGACATAAAAGTAAGGTTATGTTATAGAAGATGTGATTTGGCATCCTATGATTGGAAATCGAGCTGCTATGTAATCCAAACCTGAGTTCAAAGGTTCGATAGGAACCTTAAAAACAATTGTATCAGTAATCAAACTAACCAGAAAAGGAAATAATAAAACAATAAAATAAAATAAAATAAACGGCAACAGGTGCGACCGACACTCCGATCGGTTTTTTATCCTCCGATACGGACCACGGCACGGCGGATTGGTCATCCGAGAGTATTCAAGGTGACTCATTATCTTCAAAACTGGAATTGAATTGAAGTCTTCGTAAGTTAGAGTAGACGTAAGTTAGAGTAGAGGGATACATATGTACCTTCTCTCATATTGTATGTAGTGAAAATATCTACCAAATACAATGTGTAACATAGCGGTGAAGATCTAGATATGGTTGAAAGGTTGTAAGGTTGAAAGCGAACAGTGCATTATTCATAACTCGGGGCTCGGCGTATACCCTTTCTCCATTTATCTCCGGTGGATCTCTCATCATCCGTAAAGTCCGTTTCGGGTCGATCGGACTAAGAAGAAAATATTAAAAATATTAAAAATCAGAAAAGAAAAGAAAAGAAGAAAAAAAAAGGAAAAAAAAAAAAAGCTGCCTTGTCAGATTAAATATAAACCTCTCGTCCGGGAATTTCAAGATTGTTTCTGATATCCCAAGATCTACTCTACTTTTTTTTTAACCTGTTACACTATCGATCTTGTCCCCCTGGAAGAAAAACCTGATCTATCATAGTATACCACATAGTATACCACATAGTATACTCTTGAAGTATATCGAAGTTGATCTACTCCCTTATCCCTTCTATCACACCGCCCCACGACGATCCACTGTGACTGGATGACGCCTAATTGAGTCACCACCAAAGAGTCATACCCAATAATCCTTCAAAAGCTCGTCTAGCCCATTATGGACTCTTCATCTATTACCTCAAATACCTCCAAACCCTCCCCCTATTTTGATTCTCTCCTCCGTCGCCGCCAACAAAAGAAAATGAGCATCACTCAAACATACTATCTCGCCCATACTGCTCGGAAGAAGCTCACTCGTGAAGCTTCCCGGGCAGACCACGACCTCCGCTTGCTCGTTGGCCACGCCAACCTCCTCGACTCGCTGATGTACGACCTCGCTGATGCGGAGCGTGAACAAGAACGGTGGTTCAACCAGACCGTCAGTGGAGCCACCAAGGCTTCATCTTCCTCTTCTTCTTCTTCTTCCTCCCGCCAACACATTCAATGGGCTTCGACAGTGGTCGAAGAGCCCGAGGAAGACTGGGACCCGGAAGATGCATCCGATCTGGACTCCGAACTCAGCGACAGCGACGACTCCGACTACGACGAGTCTGAATTTGTTATCAACACACCTCCCGTTCGCCGTCGCGCCCCATCACCGGTGGCTCACTACCAAGAGGACCTTCTGCAGGAGGATGACGAAGGCGACGACACCGATTCAGACTTCGAATACGATGACGCGGAGGATAACGAGCTGAGTTTGACTCGCTCACCCTCACGACAATCACCGCCAGAGCTTCTGGCTGACTCGGATGGAGAGTCTGAGGACGAGGCAACACCGCCCTCCCCGCCCCAGCCTACGCTGGAGGCATTCGATGAAAAAGAGCCTGCTACTACGGCTATTGCCTTGGCGGGCTCTGATCAACCCCATCTCTTTGAGCAAGGGTATTTTGGTACACAAGAGCAGACCATGATCGAAGCTTACTGATTAAGCTCGATCACTCCCACTTTACGATCCCGACTATACTCTCTACCCCCCCCCTCTCTCTCTGCCTTGTGTTTTCCATAATCCAGCGATACATACCGTGATACCCTAATGCTTTTTATGACGATGTTTTTGGAGCGAGCTTATATTTACCATCTCTCATCTTCTATTTTCTGGCGTTTTTTTGGTTCGGTCGCATATGGCGAATTGTCATTTTGGACATTTCTTTTTTTTTTTTGCCTCCATGTCATATGGACATTTATTTACATATACCTCTCATCTCTTGCTATCTGTGATAGCGGCCCAACATTCAGCTCTCCCTACAAAAGGTCGAGACTGTGCATTGGAGCGTTGAAACACGGGGGGAAGACATTATGAACCCCCACAGAAAAATATAAAACAATCCAATAAAAATTCGAAATCATTCAACAATCTTCTATCTCCTCCGTATACAGTACTCCATACAAAATAGTCCAGTAAATAAATAGTGCCATTGAAACCAGCAGAATTGCGTATATGACCTGGTCGATCAACAGGGCCGTGCGTGCAAAATCCCCGTTCGCAGCCAAATAGAAGTGCAGCTCGCCAGCACGCCATGGTCTTCACCGCCGGATAAACTAGATAGATCAGAGCCAAGCGTAGATATAGTGTGAGATCATCGCGGTTAGGTCGGCATAGGACGCCGCTACGGATAGTCAGCTGAAGGGTTTTTCACTAGTTCTTGAGTTCTTAGTTGATTAGTTATTTAGTCCGGACACTCCGAGTGGAGTTAAGGAAAGGGGTTTACTTTTTTTTTTCCTTCGCTTCTTTTTCCTTCGAATGGATCTCTTGGCTTTGTTAGAAGTAAGGCAGGGCGGGGTCCATATTGGGCTAGTATCCTGGGCTAGTGAGTGAAAATCTTGTGGCTGGGGGTGGAAGGGGGCTGAGGCGTTTTGGGTATGTTGTTCGTTGGGCGATCATGGACTCTAGTTGTGTTATTGGTTCGACTCTTTTGGTCTTATTGTAAGAGATCTTCCCCTCTCTGGTATCATTTCCCGCTATCTAACAATTTACTGTTAGAGTATGGAGTACTCATAAAGGTACCCTCAGATAGAATATATGAAGTTAGTCATGTTATATGCATAAACATCATAAACTACGTGGGTCTTTTTATTGTGGCTTAGTACGGAGTACGGAGTACATTGGCCGATATGTCGCCATATGCTAATCTGTATAGTTATCACACATTATTGCTCCGTAATCTGCACCATGGCTTCAAATATTGATGCTAGACGGAGTACTACATATACTGTTGACTTGATATTTCTAATATCCTATCAATAGTAGGGTTGAGGTTCTTTCTCTTGCCCAAAGATACCTTATATCGTAGTTCGGGCTCTTCCCGAATGCTGGACTAGCATTATAATTGTAATTGGATAGCACCTCGATGCTGAACTGAATCTGGCGAACTTCCCCATTTCGTGCTTATTAGATGTCGATACGATATATATATATATATATACATCCATCCTTACAAGTGGAAAAGTATTCCTATCTGACCAGTACCCAAATTAAGACTTCGTGTAGAAATTCCATCCATTTTAAAAAGTTTCTTCCTCATTTACAACATACACTGCTTGACACAAATGAAGCTTTCAATTATATAGGGTTGTGTCAATCACCGGACCCGTGGACCTGTGGATCCCTGCTGGTATTACATAATCCTGGCTAAGCTCCCGAGCCGCTATCGATAAGTGATCACCGCCCTGACCAACCCGTCCTGACCCCTCGCTGCATCCGTCACTCTCCAGCTCGAGCAAGATGACTCGTGACCATTAATCTTCCTAGTTTTTATTGAAGGGATACTCCCAAAACATGATACCACAACCCCGCTTGGTCCTGTGGAACCCTCAACAACCTCGTGGCCGGTGATACGTGCTATTAGCTCTCGTTATTTACGTCAACACGGCCCACGAAAACCACCAGACCCATTATACCCCTCTTCATTTACATTATCACTGAAGCTCAACCTCTTAATGTCTGCCCCGACTTCTCCCAGAAACTCATCAGAGTCTGCAGCGGGATCCGAATTCAGAGATCATACGATCCCACCTGCGGGGTCCGGTCACACCCGCAGCATTTCCGGCGAGGTTAAACCCAGAAGCCAACGGAGATCGATTCAGTTTAGCGTCGGCGCTGCAGAGGCTCAGTTGCCCAGTCGCTCGTCGAGCTTTAAGGAAAAGCGGCTGTCATACGGGGATACCCCGACGAGGGAATTATTGGAAGAAAAGGAACGGGAACCCAAAGCTACCCAATTGAACCGAGGGCCGTCCCCACCACCGCCGAAGTATGTTCCGCTCAAAGACTATGTGTGTGAAACGGCTTGCACTAATACATATGGTAGGACCTACGAGCGAGGCGTCTCTTTCGACACATTCGACAATTTCGATGCTACCGATTTCTCCCTCACATTAAACTATAAACACAAAGGCTACCAGAGCACACGTCGAAGCAGGACCTTCTTGTGCGGAACCGACCAGAACGACTACTCCGAGTTCGCCCTCGAATGGCTCATTGACGAGCTGGTGGATGACGGGGACGAGATCGTCTGTCTCCGAGCGGTGGAGAAGGACTCGCGCATAGCCAGCGATGTCGGAATCGAAGAGCGAAAGTACCGCGAGGAGGCCGAAAAGCTATTTGAGCAGGTGATCCAGAAGAACAGCCAGGATGAGAAGGCCATCAGCTTGGTCCTGGAACTTGCTGTGGGCAAGGTTGAGAGCATCATCCAACGCATGGTAACCTTTCCAAGAACCCCTTCACTACCTCCTACAAATCTAATAACCCTCTAGATTCGCATATACGAGCCTGCAATGCTTGTAGTCGGTACACGAGGACGAAACCTGAAAGGAGTGCACAGTCTGCTCCCAGGATCCGTCTCCAAATACTGCCTCCAACAATCACCCATCCCGGTGATTGTCGTTCGGCCTTCACCGAAACGCGAAAAGAAAAAGAAAAAGCGCCGTGCAGACCCAACACGGCGCAGCTACAACCAAATCTTGGAAATGAGCGAGCAGCGCGGCAGTCAGATATTCGGCGCCAGCGCCAGCAACGATAGCAGCACTTCGAAGTTGCCAGACGAGGAGGCTGCAGTAGCAGAGGCACTCGGGCTCCCCGCATCGTACTCGAATGCGGCCTCGCGCAGTTCTCTGTCGGTCTCAGACCGTAGTAGCATTAGCCACGATGACTCCGACTCGACCTCCTACCCCATTCGGAACTCACTGGATGCAGTGGTTATGGCAAGTCCGGGCATCGGAAGTCCAGCAGATAGCTCCCAGGAGAGTGTCGTTACTGGCAATGGTGTTCAGGCATCTCCTTTGCTGGATAGGACTGTGATCGAGCCTTCCCCGTCTGACCAACTCGAGCCTCCTATATCAGATTCCTCCTCTACCGGGGTTGGAAAACTAGATGAGGCTAACGAGCCTTCCGATTTAACCAAGGATCCCGTGTCTATCCCATTGATTGAAGTGTCAGATAACAATGATAAAAATGACAACACGAAGAAATCTGAATCCTGAAACAATGGCTTGTCTGGCCCGCAGCGGCTCTTCATGTCCATTTCGCTCGTGTTGCGCTATACATTTACACCCTCGCGCTTTCTCACATACTCACGATCCTTACGAACAAATCGTCCGATTTCACCCTCTCATGTTGCTTCTTCTAGCCTCTCTCTATCGAACAGAATAAACATCAGGAATAACGTCGGCTCGCGACGGGACTGACAGTTATACCCCAGCTCAATACCCTACCCTCATCGCTTATTGTCCTCTTGATGTGTCCTGCCTGACCTGGTTAAACGTTTCACATGTTTTGGCCATGTGCATTTCTCCCCCTCTTGTCTTGTGCCTACAGTGAAAACCCATCGATGAATCCATAGACGTCTCCCAATATGTGCAGATAGATCACTCGTAACTGTCTGTTTACTCATAGCCGCTATTCTTATCGTAGGATACATACACCCATGGATGCTGATCCATGCTATAACAAGAACAAGTCCATAGTCACGTTTAAGTACATTTACATGGACCTATATACCATGCAAAATGAGCTAATATCTTACCAAGGAAGAGATTGGAAGTAGCCAGAAGGCGAAGCATTCATTCAATCACGTTAAAAGCTGAGTGGTGCTCCGGGTATTGAGAGGAAAAAAAAAGGACAAGGTCAGGGAACAAGAGACAAGAGAAAAGCAGAGCAAGAGGGAAACGGGGAAACGGGGACAATATGCAAAGCACAAGAGGAGAGAAAGAAAAGCAAAGAGCAAAAGAAACGGCAACCCCTTCATCATCCTCAGAATCAATCTCTTCATGTCAGTTTCCATCCACAGTAAAACCCCCTACTACATGTGTATATGGGAAAATGGAAGACAAGAGTATGGAAAAAAGGGATGTAGCAAGTCCAATGGCAAGCAAAGGTCCTACTCTCAACCACAGCTCCACACTCATTCCCTCAATTCGATGAAAAGAGAAGACGAAGAAGAAGAAGAAAAGGAAAAGGAAAAAGAAATAAGAATTGAAAAGATGTCAAAATTGTACACTATGAATCGGGTTTCTTTTTCGAAAGGTTCGAAAAAGTAAAACCGGCGGTTGATAAAGTGAAAAAGGGGGAAGTCCTAGGGGATAACCGACCAGTCGGAAAATGCAAAGGACTGAGACCGATTAAAAACAAAGGTGCATGGCTTTCCTCACGGGAAAAAAGAACAATGGGAAATGACGAAAATGAAGAAATCTTTTTGTGAACCAAGAAAATGGAAAACGTTGATCATTAACTCCTAAGGACTTTCTATGCTGTGGGTTCGCCGTCCTTGACAGATGGGGTTTTTGAGGGACGACGCTCCGCGGCCGCGGGCTGCGACTTGGTGAGCATCGGGGAAGTGGGGTTTGACGGTGGCGAGGTAGCCATGTTATCCCGATCTTCAAGGGCAGCCAGCGCACTGGGGAGGGTATTAGCATGGGGGGGATCCGTAGGATAAAAGCGTTGGGAGTTTCGTACCTGAAAGCATTCATGGAAGAGTTGTCTTCCTTCTTGCTGCCGGTAGGAGTGCCAGTGCGGCTGCTGGCGGCGCTGTCGTCGCTTCCACGGACTAGGCTACCACCGGGACCGAGGTTCTTGCGACCGCTGTTGGTGCGCGAGCCGAGAAGGCTCGAAGGACCGAATGACATGGGCTGGTTGGTGTTGCGAGTCGCACGCAGGCGGCGGAGATCGTCACTGCCAACCTTGCTAGAGGCGTAATCGGGGGGGAGGAGCCTGGTTTCCGTATCCGAAGCCGCGGGCGTCACCGCGACCCATGGGGATGCGGCCACCGCCTCCACGGTTGCTGGACTGGCGCTGGCGCTCGGCTTCAGCTGCTTGCGCGGCACGGGCAGCCTATTTCAAGGGTTAGATACGAGACATGATGAATGACAGAAATCAAGGTTACTTACAGCCTCGCGAATCTCAACGATGGTCTGAGGACCCTTATCGGCATCCTTGGAGTTCCAGCGTGCGGAACGCAAATCGATAATATCCTGAAACCCCATGTTAGTATTATTTTTTTTCTTCTTCCCACCTCACAAGACGGAGAACGAGGGAGAAACTTACCAGAAGCATGAAACGGAGACGGCTGGGCAAGTTGGGTGTCTCAACCATCAGGTGGATGCGAGCAAAGTAGGCGTCCATCATGGCAGGTCCCTTCTCAGAGGCATCGAGACTGGCACCAATGGTGCGCAGCAGACTGGTCAAACTCTCGACCTCGGCCTCATCGGGGATACCCTCGTAGTCCACAAGCTTCTTAACACACTCGTGCATGATACGCTCTGTAAGCATGCCAAGCTTGTACAGTTCACCAATGAACTTGACGAGACCAAGACCACGACGCTTAGCGGCGGCAGCGATGTAGTATTCGTCAGACATCATTGCAATCTGTGATAGATTATTAGTACAGGGAGAAAATAACGTTTAGCTGCAGATCGACATACCTCTTCAGTAGTGCCCTCGGGCTTAGCAGGCAGGTTAGTTTTCCAGCCACGCTCGAACTCTTCTTGGCAGCGGTTGAGCAGGTACTTGCGGAACAAACTTCCACCAGCAACAACGGTGCCATTTCGGTCACGAATGTTCTCATCCTTAATTTCTGGGCTCATGCTCTCCAGCATGCTCTTACAGAACTTGGCGTACATAGGGGCCCAGTGAGCCTCATCAGTAGCCTTCTCGAATGTGAGTTGGATGACCTGGCGCAGAGTACGACCGTCGGTCTCATCCTTGGACTGGGAGACAATCGCGAGGATCTGACCAGAGATACGGTCGAAGTTCTCCGGTGTCATCTTGTTAAGAGCAGCCTTGACCTTGCGCTGCACGACATCCGGTGCCAAGTAGCCAGCATCACCACCGGGGGCGGGACCAGCACCACTTTGGCCAACACTGCGAGGCTTCCAGCCACTTGAGGTGGTTTGAATTGCCTTCAGATCCATGCCGGCAGTAAGAGGCATCGACTTGTTTTGCGCCTCGTCCCCTCGGCCACCGTGCTTCTTCGGCCGGCTGTCGGTGCGAGGACCCTTGCTCGAGCTGCCACGAGGAGGAACACCGGCAGAGTTTTGGCGAATATTGCCAATAGGACCCATGCCACCAGGGCCACCCCGTCCGAATTGGAAGGAAGCATTGCGGCTGCCCATCGCTCCGCTGCCCATAGGGGGCATCTGACCAGGTCTGTTGAAGCTGCCCATGGCGGGGAAGGGTCCTCCTGGACCCATAGTGCCGCTGCGAGAGCCAGCACGGCTACCCATGCTAGGAGTGCGGGCAGACTGAGGACGGGAAGAATCGGTGGCATCACCAACTGTGTCCCGCAGACGGAGGTCCCAGTCGACGGAGATCTTGTCCTTGAATGCGGCCTGGAATTGCAGCAGGAAGTCCCGGTCGTAGTGGAACTTGCGGCCTTCGGGCGCAGCGGCGTTCATCTCGGCACTGGGAGGAGTGATGGACGAAGGGTAAGTGACCTTGCTGAGGTCTTCCAAGAACTTGGCATTCTGCAAAGACTTCATGCCTGCGGTTGCTTGCAGGGGCTCGGTGGGCTTGGGGGTATCGAGCTTGAGGCCAGCGGGCTTCTTGGGAATGGCGCTGGCAGGCTTGGCTGGTGGGCCCATGTCAGATGAAACAGGAGTAGCAGCACCGCTGTCGCCAGGGGTGGAAGACTCGGTGGCACCGTATCCACCCTTCTTGAGCGAAGCAAACGCATCCTTGCTGTCGTCCTGGGCGGCCTCGCCGCCTCCGACACGAGCGGCGTTCTCGCGGGCAATCTCGCGGGCTTCGGCCTCAGCCTCAGCCTTCTTCATGTTGGCCTCGTAGTTCTCAAGTTCCTCGCGCTCCTTGCGTGCAGCTTCTTCCTTCTTAGCTTGCTTGGCGCGGTTGTAGTCTTCCTCGGCGGCACGCTCCTTGGCTTCAATCTCGGCCATTTCACGCTCGATCGCATCAAAGTCGATCTCATCGTCATCCGCGGGAGCGGGAGCGGGAGCGGGAGCAGGAGCAGCAGCCTTCTTGGGCTCTTCAGCAGGGGCAGCAACCTCTTTCGATTCTTCAGCAGCAACCACCTTCTTGGGCTCCTCTACAGGAGCGGCCTTATCCTTGATACTAAGGTCCTCAACGGCAGCCCGGGCAGACTCAGTATCGTCCTTTTTGGCATCGGTCGACGCAGCTTCAGTGGTCTTGCGAGAGGCCTCGTCGGCCAGACGCTGCTTCTGAGCAGCCTCGTCCTGCTGGATCTTCAGGCGAACAGCATCCTTCAGTTCCTGCTTCTTCTCCTCGTCGGTCTTCGTGGCATTCGACTTGCTCTCGGTACGAGTGTGCTCAGACGCGCTGGCAGTGCGAGGGGGAGGAGTGGATGTGGGAGGAGGAGTAAACTTGACGGGCGAAGGAGTGGCGCGAGCAGGGGATGCGGGGTTCTTTTCGAAGGTCTTGACCGAGCCACTGTTAGGGTCCTTGATGATGATTGGACTCTTCTTGGCTGAGGGGATGATGAAGTGAGGCTTGGGAGCGGGGCTGTTGGATGCGCGGCTGCCAGTGTGGGTGTGACCGGGGACAGCAGGACCAGTGGGTGCTGGTCCTTGGCCAAGGCTCGAACCTGGACGATCAGTAGATACCTGGGAGGGAGTACGCGAAAGCGGTGTCGCCTGAGGCATGGGGTTAGGGAATTGCTGTCCCATGTACTGAGGGTTGTAGGGCATGCCAGCAGTACGAGGCTGGGGAGACGGCGGGCCCATGTAGTAACCCCCGTTCGGGTTGTAATAACCAGAGTAGTTGGGATCGTAGGCGTTGGGGAATGACTGTTGACATTTAACCATAGTTAGAATCTGTTCGAAATGGCCACTTTCAGGCGCAAGATCCACGGGATACTCGGGAGAGCATGGAGTGTCGTCTTTGCGCCTCCAAGAGCTGCTAAGGTTTCTTTGGGGCCGACGCCAGGGATCCTGGAAAGTACGAGAAGGGGGGATCTCACAGCTTGAGGGCCCATATGTTGACCGTAACCGTAGGGTTGCTGAGGCATCTGGGGGTGTGCCATCGGGACCTGGTTCATCTGGGGAGTGGTAGGGTTAACGTTGGCCAGGGCAGGGCTGCGGTTGGCTTGATGAGGCGAGTTAGGGTAGGGAGCCAAAGGACGACCCTGGTTCGAGCCGTGAAACTGGGGGCCCATGTTAGGACCGCCTCGCGGTTGGTTGGGGGTCTGGCGGAAACCGGGGTTAGGAGAGTATGGCATCTGCTGTCCCTGGTAACCAGGCTGGGAGTATCCGCGACCGCGACCACCCTGGTAGTTTGAACGTCCGGGGCCGTTGCCCATGTGGTTGCTCATATCGCTGTGGGTGGATTGGGAGGACTCGCGACGCAAATGCTGAGCGCCGTGTGCAAGAGAAGCCTGTGAAATCGAAACCATCCATGTGAGCAAAAAAAAAACAACAACAACTTCAAACCGAAAATGAGGACTTGGCAAAGTCGCGCACAGGTGGTGCCACGCTCCATACACATTTGCACAGCAAGATCACTCAAGAGAGGGAAGGATTCCAAGAGACTTACGTTGGCATCAGCAGATTCTCCGAAGCTACCGAAGTTCGGCACATTTCCTTGCGCCTGGTAAGTCGATGGAGGTGGGCGACCGCCGCTGGAGGCGGGCTGGGGAATAGGCGAAGGAGAAGTCTGAGGAGAAGTCACCCGGGGGTTTGTCGAAGGGGCACCAAGTCCAGCCTGGGCCTGGTTAGAGGCAGGTACAGCGGGAGCACCCATGTTGGGAGAACTCTGCTGGAAACCGAACTGAAGACTGTTGGGCCGACTGGCCGGGCCACCACCGTTGGGCATGTAACCGGAAGTACCGCTCGAGGTGATGGTCACAGATGGCTTGCGAGAGTGATCGCCGGAGGGAGCAGCCGAAGCAGTGGGAGCTCCATTGACAATGGTCACGCCAGAAGAGGCCGACTGCTGAGTTTGATTTTGCATGGGTTTGCCGTTCACAGATACGGAGCTCGACTGCCCATGTTGCGCTGAACCGCCCACGGTGACGGGTGCGGCGGTAGAGTCCGTCGCGGACTTTTTAGTTGCGTTGGCGTAAGATCTGGCTGGCGCCTGGGTGGCAGCCAGGGGGGGTAGAGGATGCGGGCTGGGTCGAAGCGGCGGGAGTAGCGGTGCTTTGTCCTTGGTTGCCCGACTGAGGAGGGTTCGAGCTCATTAGACAGGTTGTACGTCTAAACGCGCGAAGAAGGAGGAAAGTTCGAGGGAGAAAAAAAGACGAAGGTGATGTCAGTACGCGGAGGCGTAACAAGGCCACATCCAAACCTAAATGCAGGTTGTCAAAGGGATGAAACTTGATTAAAAAAAGGGAAAACTAGTTTCCGAAATACACAGAAGACCAGGTACGCAGCAAGAGCAGCGTTTTGGTCGACAGTGTTATGATTTTTTTTTAAAAAAGGGTTGATTCAAAGGGTAGAAGATGGTGGGAGGGAAAAAATTCCAAGGGAAAAAAAAATATTTCGGGTTTGTGGAAAACGAAAGGGCAGAACGAGAGAGGAAGAGAGAGTTGTACCGTCGACCCAACGTACCTTTGAATGTGATTAATGGGATTTTATGGGATTGAATCTCTTGAGAAACTTGAAAAACAATGAAATTAATGAAATTTCAGAAAGACAAGTGAGAGTCAAAATAGAATCGTAGGTTGAAAGTGATGGTCTACAACGCCACTTTGTTACAAAGAATTTTGTTAACTACGTTATAGTACCTAGTTAACTAGGTAACTAAACTACATAATAACTATGAGCTCTAACTGTTAAATAAATATATTATATGACTCTACTTACTCATATTATTGACTCTGACTCGATTCTTTATTCATCTGGAACCTGATAGATCATCCAAATGCCCCATTTTCCCCGTTTGCCACTTCTGGTGACCCATACTAGCTACATCTATCTACAACATACATCTACATCTAGTTACATCTATACTATACAAGATACTTATAAGGTACATATATATATATATATATATATCTATATATACCTATATACTTAGCTAGGCTGGCTGTACACATAAATACCTATCTCCTAAATGCACTGACTCAATAATACTCAATAATACTCCCCAAGGCACAGGGATATATCAAATAACTACTTCCCCATATCCCCCCCGTCCTTGCAGTGCATCTGCGTGAACTCTTTTATGCAAGGCTATTCCTCCCGACCGGAGGGATTCGGATTCGGCTTGACATCCTCGGTTGTTCTCAGAGTACACAATTCAAGTTCCATTTAACTGTTATTTAGCAACGCAAAAAAAAAAAAAAAAAAAAATCCATCCCGATCTCTCACCTAACAAGAGCAAAGCCTTCAAGTTCTATTTTGGATTTTCTTGTTCTACTCTAACCACCGATGTTAAAAAGGCGGAAACACTCCGCGGACAAACTTAGGATCGGTCGTACCCGCTTGCCCGCGACCGGGCGATCTCATCGACAGCTCGCGCCGCGAATTCAGCACCAGAGGAGGCGGAGGAATCTTGTTCGCTGTTGAACCAACCGGATGTCCATCCACCACTAGTCTTTCGTTCCGAGCGATGCCCTAGATCCTCATCATCAACCACCTCGAAGGAGTTCTCGCTGCGATTCTTGCGCAACGGTACACCGTAGGCAAGGTCGTCAGCTTCGAGTCCACCTCGAGGGGTGCTCTGCTCTTCTTGTGTTAGGGTTGACCGGAGGTGATCTAACAGCTCTCGTTGCGAGGAAATAAAGTGAGCCTTCTCGGCTCCAGACATAGACTGCATCTGGCGCTGGAGGAGATTGCCACTGACTGAAAGCTCCTCGTCCCGCACCTCCCGAGTCTTTCCAGATGTAGCTGTGCCCACGGCGGCACTGAGAACAGAAAACCAATCATTTGTGTTGGCGGGTGCCCTGGCCGCCCCGGCAGCTCCGCCAACGGGGATGTTGAACCGCGATAGTAGCGACTGCGCGTAAGAAGCGGCACCTGGCTGAGGGGGTGTTGTAGGGCGCTGCGGGGGTAGACCCAAAACTTTCTGTCGGATCAAATCGATGGCTTGGTAGAAGTATTGAAGTCCCAGTGTCTTAGCCCGCTCATGGGTGTGGCCGATCATATCTTCGATTTCCCGCTCATGGTGTGTCAAGAATGGGTCCACGTAGTCTTGGTACAGTATACGAGCACCTTGCGTCTGGGGGAGGACGAGATAAGCCATGAAACCGAGGCGAATCCAGCTGTAGAATGGGAACCTGGATAATTATTGGACGATTAGCTTGTGATCTTGTTAAAAAGGAGCTGGCTGAACTATACCATCCGATGATAAACACTGTCCAGGATTCAGCCAGCAGAATGACTGAAAGTACCACCCAGTACATCAGCCATGGTGCGAGTTGTGAGGGGTCAGAGGAACGAAGAGCCTTATAAGAAGCAAAGACGGGGAATAGGATCGTGATGACCGAGCTATAGAGATAGATCTGCGTTAGCTTGCGGACCGCTTCTTTCCAAGGCATATATAACTCAAACATACGACAACAAGTCCGCGAATATTCCAAACATGATGAAACCTGGGTGAATTGAAGATGTGAAAAAAGAAAATCCCTGGGGGGAATTTTTAGTCTTCAGTCAGCCCCGCTGATCTGAGACGAACACCGAAGTTGGACAAAAAAGAAAAAAGAAAAAGAGGAGAACAAGGCAACAAAGATAGTTCAGGGGTATATTATAATTAAAAAAAGAAATCAGTTAATCTGTAAAAATAGAAGTAGTACTCCGTACAGCTAAATCACTTCACGATAACTCTCCTAAGAGACGTGACTCTACTTACATTTCCCAATGTGTGTTGACGTCACGAGACACTTTTTCTTTTGCTTTCTTTTGCTTTATATTGTTAATGATTCAGTCATTCATGTGTGTTTAAGACAGTATCGTATATCTTAGATCTATATTTTGGTATATTTCAGCTAATCTTTAGAAAATCAATGTTATTATCTTGAATATGCTACAGGAGGTACAGGCCCGACGAGGCACACGTCGCTAACGAGTGGCCCAATCACCCGACATTGCCTTAACTAGTTCCTAAGGTTTCTACCTATCTACCTATTATGGCCCGTTCCTATTTCTCTTCCAGCATTTCCTTTTTCTCTAGAGTCCATACCTTTACTCTATCTTATATACACCGCTGTTAAATCCAGTGAATACTGCATTGTTATCCCCCCCGCACGTTCAACTACCCCGGGGACCTCGGGAACTCAAAACCATGTGTATCGCATTAATCTCAACTGCCCACCCAGAATACTCGTTGATCATAATCAACAACAGAGATGTAAGTATATCCCCACTCTGAGCAGTGGAATTCCAAGCTTAACCTATATCTAGGAATTCCTCCATCGTCCCACATCATCGCCAGACTGGTGGCCGGAGCCAGCCTCACATGTCCTCGGCTCACGAGACCTAGCCCGATCTACACATGGCACTTGGATGGGAGTTACCAAGCAGGGAAAGGTGGCAGTTCTCACCAACTACCGTGAGGATACGACTGGTGCAGCCATCGGAGTCTACAGCCGGGGCGTCATTGTCAACAGCTGGTTGATTGGGCACACCGACAAGCGAGAGGATACCAGGGAGTTTGTACAAGGTATAGTGGCCAGTCCAGAAGCAAAGCAGGTGGGTGGGTTCAGTCTGGTATGTGGGCATATCAATGAGCCCTTGGCAATTGTCTCCAACCGTTCCTCAGATATGGACCAGATCACCTGGGTGGCAACGGAGAAGAACCAGACGCGAGGGCTTAGCAATACAAGCTTTGATGACAGAACCTGGCCAAAGATTATTGATGGAGAGCAGTTGATGGAGGCTGCTATTGCCGAGCATGTACAAAAGGGAGAGGGGGAGGATGAGGATGCATTGGTTGATCGTCTGCTGCAGGTTCTCAGCACTGATAGTCTGCCACGACTGCCAGAGGAGGAGGCCACAATTGAGATGTACATCCATCATCTGCACAAGTCCATCTTCGTTCCTATCATCGGTGCTCCAAATGATCCTGATCAAGCTGCAGAGAAAATCGCTGCAGCTCGGGTAGAAGATGAGACCAACACCCCAACCAATGGTCCTCCTGACCAGAGCTATACCTGTGGATCATATGGGACACAGAAACAGACTGTTCTCCTGGCACGACCTGATGGGCGGGTCCGATATTTTGAAAGAACGTTGTATGACAATGATGCTAAGGCTGTGCCGATCGGGCAAGGCGATCATTCATTCGAATTCAACATCACACTGTAGCTTCTTATTAGCTTAGTGAATACGCTTAGATTTAGTAATTGATTAATGATACATTCTGTTCAAGAGCTTCAGACCGAACCTGCCATTCCACGTGACAAGTAAGCATGGAGCCATCCAATCACAGGCTAAGAAAGTTGTCAGCAAAAGTAGTAGGCGGTAATATTCTGCCCAAAATGGGGGTTATATTGAACTTTAAGGATATCTTTTCGCCCTTCGGGGCATATGGTCAAATGAAAATATACAGAGAAGATTAGCATGGCCCCTGCACTAAGGATGACACGCTCAATCAAAGAGAAGCTACCTATTTTTTTTTTTCCTTAGAGATCATTTATTAGCCTCAGAGAGTGCGCTTGTTTTACTCTGGTTTCTGTTATATTACGCTATTGGGAAATCACGTGGTACACTTGTTGGGGTTCGAATCCCACATAACGCGAATGTAGTTGAAATTGGCAGCTCCCTTCGTTCGCCTCATAGAGGGTGGGATACTGACTAGCCCAACTGGGATACGCTAATAAGACCGTACGATCCAGATAGTTTTCAGAATCAGACAATTCCTTCTGTGGACAGAACCACATCAGTAAAAAATAGTGTACGAATTAGTGCGTTATTATGTGCCTAGTATGTAACTAGGCAAGGTAGATCTCTTTTATCTACACTACTATGGTTCTATCAGGAATAGATAACTAAAGAAAAGGAGGCAATTTCATGGCATGTGATCTGGGATCTGACTAATCCTAAATCGGCAACTGAGGGTCGCAGATCGGCACTCTTCGCGATAACCCAATTTCCTTATCTCACTCCATGAATGCCAAACTTTAACCTCCTTCTCATTTCGGGTTCATTGATTTTCGGTGGCTGAAAGATGGCACTACCGCTACAGGAACTGACTTCTCCGCCCCAGGTAGAGACCCCAACAGCGCAGAAAGAGACATCACTAAGCAAAGAAGAGACATCGCCACCCGAGGAAGAGACACTGTGAACACAGCATCATGCGCCCATCATGAGCGTAGCTGCGAAAGCTCTGACCGAGTAGAATATCCCCATCGTGGAGTATGGGGAGCAGATCCAGTGGCGCTACGGAGACCCTGTGATCCTTCTGGTAAGTATCAAAGTGCTTTTGTGGCATTGACTAGTCGGCTCGTTGGGCATTTCTAATGTCTTGAATTCTAGCGCGTGGAGTGGGCAGTCCCGGATGAACTACTCTCGCTTGCGTTAGAAACTCTATCAGCCCTGGGTTTCCCTTCTGTGCCCCTATCCACAGGAGCTGTTACTTACAACGGAGAATGGGATCGAGCTTGCACTATCCATAGGTTGGGCAAGAGGTGTCCGGTATATCTCTACCCGCTGTCATTTGTAGGCCTTACGCTTCAGGATACCTACGAAGTCACATCCACCTTCGACCGCACGCTCAAGATCTTAACACCCAAACCCACCAAATACATGGTTTCGTTGCTTCGTTATCTCCTCAACCACCCCCTTGGCGATAGTTTCAGACTTCGAGTAAAATATGATCTACTGTCTTTTATATGTTTTTATATTTTACGTGAAAAGCCGCTGAATACGAAGGATGGGAATGCGACGACGATGAGAGCGAAGAAGATTACTAAAATAGAGTCGGAGAAGCGTTGAGAGAAATGGAAACTTGGGATTGGGGCGCCGATGAAAAGGACTATCTGAGGATTTCCGAATCTGTAATGCGAGACTGTCGTGTTATTGATCAGTTAACTAGTTGCTAATGAGAAAAGACCATCTCCGTATGTCTGAATCTGTTCTCTGAGACTGTCGATCTATTTACCGGCTCTGAGGACCTAGGTACGTGCTGAAAGAATATCAATAAACGTAGTAAGTTAATGGGATATTGGTACTTTTATTGACCAGGTGTGAATCCGTTATGGCTAGAGCTAAGTCCATTGCATGACATCTCCACCAAAGGGAAACCTATCACGATTCCCTGAAGCTTATTGTAATTCTAGTTCTTTTATCGCCTCCGCTCTCCTCTCTGTTACCCCCAACTCTCACTCTAGCATTTGACGAAATAACTCAGTATCTGGAGAGAAGGATAGGAGGATATAGAAACGAGAGGAACTGGATGCGCGCGGATGCCTATTATGTTTGAGGTATCAAGGCAACAAGTCGATACCGGTGACTCGTCACACCAGCTTTCTAATTGCTGATGAGTGCCAAATCCTCCGCGCTCAAGGTGGCCGCAAGCAAAGGGCGAGTTGTGGTATGCATCTGGTATAGCTCGCGAACCAAGGCGAGTAACTCGTGCTTGGGCTTCTCCGGATATCCCTCGAAATCGATAAGACTGCCATCGTTAACCAGCCAGATTAGGATTACCTGAATATCTTTGACATCCCTCGCTGCTTTACTGGTACTTGCGGGACGAGTGGAGTTGGCGAATAATGCCCATCTCTTGAGCTTGGTGAGGACGAGGACGGAGGGTGCAATGGTTGGGACTTAAGCGCCATGATTGATTATAAAGCTGGCTCTAGCAGAATACACGGGTACTTACTTGGGGTCTCCTCAACACGTTCCGGTAGGTCATTGGCAGTGATGGAGCGAAGAGAAACCGAATTTGCATCAGGTAACTTCAACTGTCTGCCTTCTCCTCCACGAAGAAGCTCAACTACGATGGGCTTATTATCCATTCCGGAAAACGCAAGTTTGCTGCTGGGGGTCATCGTGAAGCGGGCGTCGGCCTGGAGAAGCTTGTTGCGGGCCTCGTTTGGGTCCGAATCCACGATTACATCAATGCCCTGAGTCAGATTAACTCATAAATCATGCCGAGACGATATAGGAATATGTACCTCAGTCATTCTCGATCCGCCAATCAGAGACGTCGCATATCCGCCTATGAACCCATGACGGGTGTTGGCGCGAGTGAGAGCGACTGTTGTTTCCTTGGCAGCTGCATCGAGAAAGCGGAAAGGTTCATATTCCTGGACTGGATCCATAGCTCGAGCAATTCAACTGAGAGAAAATTGAAAGAAGAAGAGAAACTTCGAAGAGTATTTCTTGGGCTCATCGAGAAGAAAAGAGGATGAAAGAGATGGGGGGAGGGGGGAGGTTGTAAAGATAGGCAGAGTAAACAAGTAAACCACGGTATAGTCGGGGAAGTTACTACCCAGGGACAATAACAGATGGAAGATACGCCTACATAAAAGGAAGCATGGAAGGAAGAATTGAAGGAAGGTTGACTCGGTTGATAAGACTTGTTGGCTCGTAGTATGTATGTTAGGAGAGGTCTACGTGGTGGACATCGAAGTGCATGGTGCAATGTGAGATTGATCGTTGAGTTGAGAGTTGTAGAAGTTAAGTCACAGGAGCTAATAACTAGAGAGACCAATTTCACATGTATTTTCCAAGGTTGGAAGGCGATCGATCAGGCGGCTTAAAACGGCGTCAAGAGCAGCCCTTTCTGGTCTCCCATTCACTGTGTGATCGTTATGTGTAGTATTAATTGTTAGGATTTAATATGGAAGAAGAATAATTGTTTAGAAATAGCATCATATATATATAATGGTTAGATACCTAGGTAATATCTTTATTTTAGTATACTTAATATTCCTTATCAAAATCTGGTTAACTAATATAGACCTACTTCACACTATCTATATCTTCTAGCTTGAGGGCCTAGAAAAAGTATGTTATGCTTATAGGGTATCTAAGTACCTTTTGCATTGGTAAGTCATACAAAAGATACTTAATTCCTTAGATTTGGCGTTTGCTGGGGCGCACTAATAACCGGTATGAGTCTCCCCGAGCTGAAGCTCGGAACCAAGCAGAAAGGATCAGTATTGTCCCTAGGGGGCATGCCCGAATTATTGAGTAATGATGGTACGCTGAACATCGACTACTTTACAGACATATGTATCTGACTTATTTAGGCAATTTTTTTTTTGGCCCGCTGTACTGGGTATATTGGTCGAGATACAGTGATACAATGTATTCGTTTCTTAACTATCTGCAGCTAGGTCGGAGTATGAAACACGTTGTCGACGAATCCAATTAGTTATATAGATCTCAGCTACCTAGATGTTGTGTCAGACACCGCCCTTATATTCTGCCGATACTACTTCCTGAAGAAAATTTCCCACGATTATCTTTAACACAATTTAATCTAGTTATATACCTCTTATTTTCTGTTGCAATTACACGGCCGTGATCCACCGAGTGAGCCATTTCTTAAGATCTGGTTTCTAAGTTCCCAACTATAACATAACAATGGCTGAAGACACTAGCGCCGCCTGGCCTATCGCCGATGAGGCCCTTGCCCAGAGCCTCCTCGATCTTGTGCAGCAGGCCGCTCATTATCGCCAACTGAAGAAGGTTTGTATACAATCTCAATGGTTTCTAAACTTAATCTAACCGTTGTCTTAGGGCGCCAACGAGTGCACCAAGTCCCTTAACCGGGGTACTAGTGAACTTGTGATCATGGCCGCGGATACTAGCCCGCTAGCTATTGTCCTTCACTTGCCTCTTTTGGCCGAGGATAAGAATGTGAGTTGAATATCTTAGAGCTCTACACTGAGGATTTCGACTGATCATCTAAATTAGGTTCCCTACGTTTACGTTCCTAGCAAGATGGCTCTCGGCCGTGCTACCGGTGTTTCCCGCCCCGTGATTGCTGCCTCTATCACTACGAACGAGGCCAGCGACCTGACCGCTCAGATCCGTGCTATTAAGAACCAGGTCGAGCGCCTCATGATCTAAGACTCTAAGATGTCCATCTTAGACATGATTGGGAGTATTGGATACTGAACCACTCACTAGTTTTGGGACTGGCTAAAATTCCAGATCAGCCCAGAATTAGCCAGTACGATAATTAATTGGAACTTCCAGTCTAATTTATTTGAAGTACTCCGTAAACCATAAGAAATTAAGGGCAGAATGTGTATTGTAAATATTCCGTTGGGAAGTGCATGTGGTAGTTCCAATACAAAGACGGTAGGCCCAATTTTATCAAAAACATGTGGTCTGTCCATTTTATAGTTAGTTGCTATCCTCAGCCTTGGTAGTGGAAATATCACTCTGATGTACTTGAGCATACTGGCTTTCTAAGGTCTTTCAAAAGTCCCAAACATCCCCTGAATTTCTATCGTTCGCATTATAAATTATGCCCGGGATTAATCGGAAATGTGGATAATTGCATTGGCTTCGATATGAGTTGCCCTGCTTTTACAGGTCCGCAAAGGTTCCTCCGAGTTCATTTGAGACAAGTTCATTTGAGAAAATTAGGCTGGGGGATCCAACAGTTACCAACCCTAAATGTCACAAGGCGTTTCATCTTGAGCATTTCTCATTTACCGGGACTTCATTTCGGCCACTACACCCAAGAAGGGTTAGCCTATTCCACAAGTGTATCAGCACAATTTATTTTAGATTGCCTCTTTTTTTGACGCGACTCATCAAAACTAGTGAAATGGAAGCTGGCCTGACTTTGGCACCCCTTTAGTGCTGTCATCTCCACATGTTATCGGGCCATGGGGCTAAGCGTTGACTGCTAATCTCCGATGTATATTGGGGTGGGGTATGGATAACATGGGGCTTTACACAGCCTTGGACCATTCTTGGTCATGCGTGCCTGATCTAGTGGCTTTTGAGAAACTTGACCGTTTATCCGGTTTCTTCGGTAGTGAGGAGGATCCGCCCTCTAGAAGGGATATCCCCTGAAGGCGTTAGGGTTAGCGTCTCCCGGTAATCCCGGTCATAATTAAGCCGAATGATTTTCCATAGTGGTTCTATGAGAGATATCAAACAGGGAATCCACACTGTCTTGGATTGCATGTTAGTCCATTTTGTAGACCAGACGCTATTTGACGCGTCCGAGCAGGGCATGGCTATATAACAGACAGTCCCCGCAGGCTTTATCGTGCATACATTCATTCACATTCATTCATACTTCAAGACTGGTCTCTTGATTTCCGTTCTTTTACTTCTGTTCCGTCACATTCTTTACCGTCAAACTCGACACTCACTCTCTTTTACATTTTACTATTCACAATGAAGTTCACCAACATTGTTCTGGCTGCCAGCGCCGCAACCGTTGCTTGCGCATACCCCCAAGGAAGAGACGTTGTTCACACCAAGCAGAGCGCTAATATCAAAAAGCGTGCCAATGGATTCACTTGGCTCGGTGTTAGCGAGTCCGGTGCCGAATTCGGTAGCAACATCCCCGGTACTCTGGACCAAGACTACGCCTGGCCCAAGACTTCCCAGATTCAGATCCTGAGAGATGCCGGCATGAACATCTTCCGTGTGCCCTTCTTGATGGAGCGCCTGGTGCCAACCAGCATTACTGGCGCCCCGGATGCCACTTACCTGGCCGCCCTCAAGTCTGTACGTGATATGTCTATTGTGGTTATTGATTCTCCCCAACCCAGGCCTAACAGTTCCATTGTATAGACTATCAAGTTCATCACCGACAGCGGTGCCTATGCCGTCATTGACCCCCACAACTACGGAAGATAGTAAGTTGACTAAAACTAGAATTTCCTACCCTAACTATTATTGGTATGATACTAAAGCTCTATCTCTAGCCATGGCAACATCATCACCTCGACCTCCGATTTCAAGGCCTTCTGGAAGACCCTTGCTACTGAGTTCTCCTCCGATGAGAAGGTCATCTTCGACACTAGTAAGCCATCACCTTATGGTTAAAGTGACACAATCCAAACCATCATCCGCTAACACCACCTCTATAGACAACGAGTACCACGACCTCGACCAGACCCTCGTCCTTGACCTCAACCAGGCTGCCATTGACGCTATTCGTGCCGCTGGCGCTACCAGCCAGTACATCTTCGTGGAAGGCAACGCCTATTCCGGTGCCTGGTCCTGGACCACTAACAACGACAACCTCAAGGCCCTGACCGACTCCGAGGACAAGATTGTCTACGAGATGCACCAGTACCTTGACGGCGACAGCTCCGGCACCTCTGAGTCCTGCGTCAGCGCCACCATCGGAAAGGAGCGACTCCAGTCCGCTACCACCTGGTTGCAGGATAACAACAAGAAGGGCTTCATCGGCGAGTTCGCCGGCGGTGTTAACGCCAACTGCGAGGCTGCCGTCGAGGGCATGCTCTCCTACATGTCTGAGAACAGCGATGTCTGGATGGGCGCCGAGTGGTGGTCCGCTGGTCCCATGTGGGGATCTTACATGTACAGCTTGGAGCCCAGCAACGGCCCTGCTTACTCTACCTACCTTCCCATCCTGGAGAAGTACTTCGTTGACGGCACTGCCTCTACCCCCGCCTCCTCTTCTTCTTCATCCACCACCACCGCCGCCAAGTCTTCCACCACCACCGCTGCCGCCGTCGAGGTCACCAGCACCCCAAGCAGCAACGTCCAGGTCCCCAGCTCCGTGCTTGAGTCTTCCAGCTCGACTATCTCCGCTCCCGCTGAGACTTCCGCCGCTGTTGTTCCCGTTGTCTCCACCACCGCTGCCGCCCCGACTACCCTCGCCACTGTCACTGCCCCTGCCTCTGCCACCTCCACCTCCACGGCCAAGTCCTTCACTCAGGTACCTACCGCCAGCCCTTCTTCTGGATCCGTTGCTAAGCACTACTACCAGTGCGGTGGCATTAACTGGACTGGTCCCACTGTCTGCGAGAGTGGTACCACCTGCGTTAAGCAGAACCCTTACTACTACCAATGTATCAACTAAGGGATTGTTGAGATCTACAGGGTAGATAAGATCATGAAGGTACACAATGTAATGTATTGTGGGCAGCGAAGTTGTTGTTAATATTTCAGATACTAGAGGAGAGAGAAGAGATCTACACTACACATGTAATCCAGACGGACAATATATCTCGATCGAACTCCATACGAGGCAGTATTTTGGAATAATAGAGGCTAATAACCACCAGCAAGAGGACATCAGGAGCAACAAGAGCAACGTAAAACAGACGATGAATAGAGCCAGGAGGATATAGGGAGAGGATGGAGGAACTGTGCGCCGGGGAAATCCAACTAGTCTTGGGCACTTAGGATTGTGCCCACCCTCCAGATATCCCTAGCAAGCCTTGTGATATCCTCATGAGTCATGACGAAATCATGCTCGTTACCTTGACAATCTCGGAGAAAAAGGCTTCTGAAGGGTATCTCGAAACTCCCACTGATAGTAGGATTCTGACTAGACGATTGTGGCTTTGCAATGCACATTTTTTGAACTGGGTCTGCGATAATTCGGTCCGGGTTGGTCTTGGTGGGCTTATGCTTTAGCTCCCACTGCTCGAGTGTGATTCGCTTGTTCCACTTGTCCACAGACGCCGTCATCGCAAACTCGACTTGGCTTTGCGTAGCTTGGAGCCATAGCCTCATGTCTCGTTCGACCTTGGTTCTTGGTTCTGTGTAGGCTACTTCAAGGACAAATGTGGGCCATTTCATTGTCCGAGAGGGAGGAACGGCGAATGGGTGGATTGCCTGCTCTGCTCTTTTTTGGATCGTCTGTAAAATTCCTTCAGACATCTCGGGGAGCCCATTGTCATCGAACTGGGCGAGGTTGTAATTTCCAGTTCCAGTAAAGACTAACTCGGAACCGACGTTCATGTCGTGTGCCTTTTGGTCGATCCATCTGGTAACTGCCATGGATGCTGAACTATGATAGAGGGTTTCCATTTTGAGAACTAGGAATTTTGTGTTTGGGTCGAAGAATTTTGTACACGAAGTTAACAGCGGGTGGTCGGATTTGCGGATCTCGTCGAATGAATGTTCATCAACGTCGTATAAAAGGACACACGGCCCATCAGCTGGAGAACGATCCGTGGAAGTATTCGTCGCTACTTCAATCTTGTGAATACACTGCTCCAAATCTCGGTATTGACACTCGAGGGTTGTGAAGGGGTATGGGGTTGACATGGCTCGCCCCTGGGCGTAGCTGCCCACCGAGGAAGGAGCGGCCATTGAATCGGATAATTCGAATTTCAAGAAAAGAACTGTGGGATCTGGCGAAAAGAGACGAGGATGTTAAGAGTCTACGCGTGCTATATCTATTTACTTATATTAGTTATGTGGATGACGTCTTAGTTACCTTAGTCATAACTATCATTTACGATAGTTAGATAAATTGACCTGTAGATGCTGAGAGGTTCTAGGAACTTCTGTTATAAGAATTGCGTTCGTAACTGGGTAAATATATCATTCTCATAATCATTATCCATCGGCCCATACCCCCAAGAGTAACTTTGTCAGACAAGAATCAATACAAATTAAAGCACCGAGACAGAGGCAGATCTCAGTCCTAGTTAGGAAACCCCGACTAGACCCTAGAGAACAGCAGAAAGAATATACATCGCTTATCAGCCTTAGAAAATGAAGGCCAAAAAAAAAAAAAGAAAACCACAGAACAAAAAGGCAACTTAACCAGCTCAAGCATCCTCGGCCTGGTGCAAACGCACAGTAACCAGATCACCAGGTGCACTCGTCAAGGTAAGGCCATACCGAATCTGCCGATCCGGATAAACATCCTCAATCCGATCAAAGCGCTGCAAAAGCCTCACAATAACATAACCAGCCTCAGTAAGCGCAAACTGCTGTCCAATACAGATCCGCGGCCCACCATTGAAGGGGATATACTCCCATCCAGGCCTACGATCCATCCAGCGCTCAGGCTTGAACTCCTCAACGTCAGGGCCCCACAGATCCTTACGACGCTGCATAACATGCGTCGAGTAGATAACCGACTGGCCCTTGCGGACATAGACAGGGTCCTGACCGTCCGGACCGCCACCGCGCGGGATAGTCGTGTCGCGGGTTGCGTTGCGGCGGTTGAAGGGGACTACTGGGTACAGACGAAGCACTTCGTTCATCACGTGCTGCAGGTACTGGCAGGATTTCAAGGTTGCGAAGGTGATGTTCTGGGGGTGGGAGAAGGTACCGAAGTTGGAGATGATTGTTTCGCGGAGTTTGGTGAAGACTTCTGGGTGTCGGGCTAGCATGAGGGTTGTCCAACTTAGGAGGGAAGCTGTCGTGTCACGACCAGCGAGGAGGATGTTGAGGAGTTGGGAGCGGAGTTCGATTGGGTCACGGGTTACTTCGAGGAGAGCTTCGAGGAAGACATAGGTGGACTTTTGGTCGGGGGAGGCTTTCTTTTCGGCTTGGGAAGCTGCAAGCGCATTGGAGACGACTTTGTCGACGAAGGAGTGGACTTGCTTGTCCGAGAACTTAGTCTCCTTGTTCTCAGCGAGGAAGGCGAGTTTCTCGAAGCGGCTGCGCTGCGCGCAGACCCATTGGGACTTGTCAAAGTAGTTGGCGAAGGAGTCTTCAGGTCTGTTCAGGCTGTTGAGAGCGCCGAGTTGGCTCTCAACACTTTCACCGAAGAGGAATTCTGTGGCGGAATCGATGGTCAAGCGGAAGAAGATGGATTGGATGTCGGTTGTGGCAGTCCATCCGTTGGCTGCGGTGGGTAGAGCCTGCATAGCCTTTTGCACATGCTCCTCCTCCAAATCCAACTGACTGATCTGCTCGCGGGTGAACTGAGGCCGAAGTAGGCCACGGGATCGGCTCCATTCCTCTCCATCGGCGGTGAACTATAAACAGTTAATACCCGGATTGGAGATGGGAGGATAAATTAAGGCATAGCAGATGACTCACAATACCCGTGCCCAGCAGCGGATGAAGGTTAACTCGACGGACAGAACCAAGCTCGAAGTCCTTGAACTGTGTAGCTAGGAGAGCCTGGATGTTCTTGGGGTCGATAGTGAAAATGTGGGTGCGACCGAGGTTGCGGATGGAGAACGTAGTGACATAGCGGCGCTCCTGGTCACTGATGATCTTGACCCTCTGCTCGGACAATTCAGGTATCACCTTGGCCTTGTCTGCTACCAGGGACTGTTTCAGGTTGTCGATTCCTAAAGGATCCTTGCTCGGGTACAATGGTACACTGCCACAACCCAGACTCTTAGCATTGCGGGAGTGTTGCCATGAGTTAAATACCATTCGGATGACCTGCAGCACGAGTGCTGCGGCCGCAAAACCCAAGACGAATGACAAAGCCATGATCCTGTTCTGTCAAGAGGGATTTGAACTTTTCTGGGAAATGCAAAGAAATCGTTGTTTTATAACAATGCAACAACCTCGGGTCCAAGCATAAGTGGGTAAAACCTCCGTAGTAAGGATTGGACATGATCGTCACCGAGCTAAGGTTGAAGAGCCAATGGCAGTCATGGTGGATGTCTTTTTTTTTTTTGGATCGGCAGCGGATTTCACACTTCATGCAATCTCCTCACCGATCTGGATCTCGGAGTTGTTACTTGGTGAGTTTAGACCCGAGTTTGTGTCGGAGTCACCGTATCTTTCTTGTTGTACTCCGTATAGGTTCTCCTATTCTCATATCCAAATTCCAGCTTCCTCCGAATGTAACACCCGAGGTGTGTCTGTGTGTCTGTGTGCCTGTGTGTTTGAGGGGGTTTTCCCCATGTGACATAAAACGTCCTAAAATATAATATAATATGCACATGGATTAATTTTACAATTATACAAGTTGTGCTGATACTACAATTTTGTATAAAAAACTAGTTATGTAGTTATGTAGTTATTGTTTATGTTGTATGTGCGTGCAGGTGGGGAATCCCTGTCGCATTAGTGTATCCCCACGGTTGGGCCGAGGTTGAGGATTACTGATCAATTAATGATTACTGATCAACTAATTGCAACTTGGTAAACTTCAACCTCCAACGTCCACAGTTCTCTCTGATAATCTCGACAAATTGGACTATTGGACTATTGGATTATTGAACTATTGAATTATTGTACTATTATCATTTTATCATTTTAGCTCAAAACTGCAGATCCAAGGATCCCGGGATGGACATGCTATCGTCAAGATCCTACCTGGAACTGTCCCAAGAACAAGAAATAGCAATAAACACCAGGGAAAGCCGACCCCGAAAGAGACCCAAACCACCGGAGATCCCCGACCAAGTGACCGACAGAGACTCGGCCACTCCGGATCGTCCCGTGCGGAAAAGAGGCCGACCGAGATTAGAGGCCAAAGATGCCAGTGCCATCGAGGTAGATACTGTTCGGCCCTACGATAGTAACATCGTTGACCAGCTCTACAGGAACGCCGCCTGCAGATTCGACGGGCACAACGCACCTATCGTCTCAAAAAGGAGAGTACTATACAGACTCTCCGATCTCGCGTCGATGTACTAGAGCAGACACTAGAGAATGTATCAGACCTTCTAGACGGAGTCCATCACGATGCAGTCGCTCACCTCAACGACGATCCAACTGTTCAGCCAAGCGTGGACTATATCACTCTCACACGGGAACTCATTCTAGCAGAAATAAACAAGACCCGAGCTACTTCCAAGAACAACAGTGACTTCCAACTCGAGCAAACCAATCCTCCATTGAGAGACAAGGACATATTCGGCTATGAAGTGTCACACACACCTCCCCAGAAGAATAACCCCAACAGCTCTTCATCTTCATACCTACCATACAATCGCGCCCGTTCCCCATCCCCACTAATAAACCGCATCCTCCCAACATCAACTATCTACACCTACAGCCACCAAGAATCCAACCTCTCCCGTCGTCTCCACAGATTCAGCCTGGAGCACACCTACCGCTGGCTAACAGATCCCCGCAGCGATCCCGCCCTGCTAAGCCGCGTCTTCGGACTCGTCCCCTGCATCCACGACATAGCAGGCATACGACGAAGTTTCCGACGCAAGCTACAATCCGAGATCGGGAGCGGGCTGGAATACACCAAGATGGCGTTCTACACGCTCGGCGGGGCGGGAAAGCATTTCCCCCGCGTAGACGGGGGACGGAAACCCCGTGTACCCGGAGAATAGTCGGAGACCGGGGAAGATTCTGCGGCGGATGGAGTGGATTTTGCAGCGGGGTGGGATCCAGGATTGGGATGAGGATTGGAGTGGGGAGCGAGAGCCTGTTGCTGGCGGTTTGGAGGGAGGGGTGGATGTCATGCAGGTGGAGATGGGTGAGGAGGAGAGGATCCGTTCGCTGGATCTTGATGGGGAGTGGTTTGATTGTCATGATGTGCAGGGGTATTTGGAGCATCGGGGTCTTGCGCTTGAGGGGTCGGCGGTGACACTTCGTGTTCCCGAGAGCTTGGTTGGGGCTTTGTATGGATTTTCGCCGGATCGATCGACTTTTTCTAGTCTCTATACTTCATCTGCTGGGACTACTCCTGTTGAGAAGACGGAGTCGGAATCACCCACCCTATCGCCGTATACTCTGGATGTTGAGTGTTTCTTTGACTGTGAGTTAACAACACATTTGCTCCTTTTTTTTTGTCGACATCACTGACATGAGCCTAGTACTTCTCGCAAACCTCAGAATTCTCGGCCGGGCGCCAGGCTTCCGAGTATGGGATGTGGATGCCGCATTGCGATCAGCGATCTCCCGTCGCCCTTTCGGCTAGTCGGCACACAAATACTAACAACTGACCTGTCCTTCGATAAATATAATGAGTACTCCATGAGCCACGACAAAGATCGTCTACATATACCAAACCGAATCAAACTGAACACAGGAATCTGAAATTGAACTCCATTACTGGCATTGTTCTGGGGTATTAGCGTAGAAAGATGCAGTATAGCAAACAAAAAAAAAAGAAGTCCATCAAATCAAATCACATCAAAATCGCATCACATCAAAGACCGCCGAGGCCACGCAGTAGATAAATCCCATCTAGGAACGATCCAAGAATTTTCCAGGAGTTAAACCTCGCAAAGTGTATCGGCGGTTATATCCCGATCCGATCGTCTAGCAGCAAATCTCACAGCACTCGAAGCAAGCGATACCGGCACAACTGGGTTAAGTTAGTTTTCTGTGAATTTAATTTCATTGCGCGCATAACCGAATATGGTTCTGATCGGCTTGGATTCGGGGGATAGAGGGGAAACATACACTCCGCAGCAGATACCACCGCCGCCACCACCACGCAGCTGCATTTGTTCTTGGTTGGCCTAGAAACGATAGATGTTAATATTTATTCTGGAAATATGAGGGATTTAGGGAGGTATGGGGAGGTATCGACTTACCGGCTGCTCAGAGACAACGTTCTGGTTGCTTGAAGGGGCAGCGGGGCTGGTGGGCTGCATGGTGACGGTGTTGGCGTTCCAGCCGTCAGTGGTGGGCTCATTGGCCGGGGCGGACTTGAAGAAGTTGAAGTTGAACATTGTGGTAGGTAGAGTTGGTGTATAGGGAATAAGGTTGAAGATAGGAAGGTAGTAAAGTAGTAAAGTAAGACGGAGTGTAGAAAACAAAGAAAAAAAGGGGAAAGAAAAGAGAAAACGGCGCTATATGTAGTATTTTTTCCCTAATAATGTGGAGGATCGGCCAAAAATCAGAAAAATAAGGGAAAAATGAAACAATTAGCGCCCGGAGATTACAGATTACACCGTACTCGCATTCCAATAATTTCCACTAAGCTGTGTCCAGGTACGCGTTGCTAAGTTTAGGGACTAATCAGAACGATGCTGCCTGGGCACCACACGGGGAGGCTTTGCAGGATACGTAGCCCAAGGAGGCTTGATGTGTTCCCATTCTATATTTACTTCTGCAAGTGTGGCTATGTATTCCATTTCCACATATTATAATATTTATATCCAATTGAGACTGTTCTCTGGGAGATCTAGAGAAGTTATGGAAGCCATGGAAGCCTTGGAAGCCATGGAACTTGAAAATCCAAAATCATCAGCCCTTCAGCCCTGCGGATTGCCAAGGTCTTGGCACATGTCTTGTATTTGGGGTATCTGTATTGTGACATCTTCGGTATCATTTGCACGTACATACCTAGGCACGTATCTTCTATGCAAGGTTAAAGGACTGTAGATCACGTTAGATCATGTTTAACTATAATAGAAAGGGAATATAACAACATTGAAAATACATATGTATCTATCACAGCTTTGAAAGAATCCCATCCGGCTGTAAAACTGAAAGATAACATTTCTGAATTTCGCTGATCGTCCGGCACCTGCTTCCGATTAGAACCTTTTTCTCTTTTTATGCATTTCCAGAAGAAACAGTGACTTACCCGGCCAATGCCATGGTGATCCGCAGTTCTTGGCGGAGAATTCGAATCGCCAATTCAACACCCTCTTGTCCGTTATACTGTATTTCGTCAGCCTCTCATAAAATAATAAGCAAATGGAATGGAACAAACACATACAGCCAACCCCCAGAATGGGATCCTTCCTATAAAACAAAAGCCAGCCCCTAATGCCAGAGCCTTGAAGATATCCGAGCCTCGTCGGATACCCCCATCCACCGCAATCGGGATGCGATCCTTGGCTACAGGAGCACAGACCCGCAGTGCATCTAATGTCGACGGCATTCCGTCTAGTTGCCGACCCCCGTGGTTCGAAATGACGATGCCGTCGATGCCGTATTTGATGGCCAACTCTATATCTTCGGGGGTTGTTACTGCCAATTGTTAGTGGAACTGTGACTGCTTCACTTGATTCACTCGACAACCTGAACATACCACCCTTAAGCCAGATCTTCATAGATGTATGCTGTCGCAACCAAGGAATCGTTTCCTCCCAATCCAAACTTGGGTCTGCAAGATATTAGCATACCCTCTATAACCTCACACCAACTCCACAGACCAACTTCGGAACACATACCGTAGTCAGTGCGGTTCGAATGATCCGCTCCGTGGCTGAGGATATTCGGCCACGACATATCATCGGGGATGGTATACTCATTTCGGTATTCGTTGATGCGCTTGCCTAACACGGGTACATCAACAGATAGGAACAGTGCTTTGTACCCAGCCTCTGAAAAGGACGTTAGTTCGGCCCCGTCAATGAAACCATGAAAGAATAGCGATTCAGAATAACGACATACTCTCCGCCCGCTCTAACAACTGGAGCGTAATTGCCCGATCCCGCAGCACACACATCTGCATCACATACGGATTACCGGTTCCCTGAGCAGCGACGTCTTCGAGCGGATAATTCGAGTACGAGGACAAGCCCATGCACAGACCGTATTTCGCGGCTGCGCGCGAAGTCGCGAGCTCGCCGTCTGGGTGTGCGAGTTTCATTGATGCGGCGGGACTGAAGCCGAATGGGAGTGATACCTGTTTGAGTATCAGACTTGGTACTGCTGTTGTTCATTTCTACAGGGAAAGAAGAAGGATAACATACATTGCTGCCAAGGAACCCGGTGGTTGTGTCGATTTTGTCGACGTTGATTAAGATCCGGGGACGGATCTTGTAGCGGTCGTAGGCTGTTTCGTTCTCGTTGAGACTAGATAATTGTTAAGGAGATGGACTAGTTGCTGCGTTTCAAGATTCCATACGTGATTAGATCCATAGCTCCTCCATTGTAGTAATCTATTGACATTAGCGCTGGTACAATGGATCGCTGTTGTGAACTGTTCATGGTACTCACCTCTGACCATCGGAGCCAGCCGACTGCTCCCGATTTTCTTCAGATCAGCAATGCAGCATACATCTTTGGATAGGGTCTCTCCACGGTGAGCCATTGTACCGTGTGTGTTGGGATGTGATTATAGAATTTGTATAAGAAAGTTGGATAGAGTAAGGCGACGACGGCAGAGTTCAAATAAGAAGGATCCCCGACAACCTCTTTCCTTCCGAGGTCATTCTACATTGCCGGATTTGGATGCACACAAGGAGCTTCTCCTTACTATAGATTGGTTTCCTATCGTGGAAGATGGTCATCGGAGTCACCTGCTAGATTGAGATTCTGTGGACGGTGTCACAGGTTAGGGATGTTTAGTTGCACGGAGCTTTTATCAAATCAACTATTTACGACCTATACAAATATAGCGCCAGCGGCAGTGCCAGTCATGCAATAGCGTCGAGGATATTGTGCGGATGCTGACCTGGGCCCAAGCCTGGTCAGAAAAGCTCCGCGGAAAGAGAATCAGAGATGCTTATGCGACTGGGGGCACCGTCTACTGTTCTAGGTATTTGGAGCGAGAATCGCGTAATATTTGGTTATTGTTAACAGTCACTTCTAACAAGATCTTCAGTGTGCTCAACTGTGGTGATGAAGCCCACGATATCATTCACTAGGAGTAGAACTGGGCCAAACGGGTTGGTCACAGCGGGAAAAATAGGAAAAATAAAAATAAAAAGACTAACTGGCCCAATTCTGCTTTACAATAAACAGAAGTGATATTAGTCAGATTGGGATGGAATTGATTGTTGAAATGGACGTTGTCAGGAAAAGACTCGTGGACAAGAGCAGGTGACTCCGAGGAGATAAGCCGATAAGAGATCTAATTTAGGAAGGCGATTCCGATTTTGGCGGGGTTGGCCATAACCGACTTACCACTTTCCAATATGGAAATGATAGCAAGAAGCTCCTTCTTAATTGAATCATTGGATCTATATATCAAATGCTTTGAGAATGGTGACATCTAAACGATCAAGGCCTCGCCGATCCCATGCGCTGGGAGGGTGCAGCACCTGCAGACGCCGGCATGTGAAATGCGATCAGAAACGGCCCGTTTGTCGTACTTGCCGGGCCTTAGGCGTTAAATGCGAGGGGTATTCCGATCAGGTCCTGTGGATGCGCACTGATAGCGAGGAGGTGGAGAGTACTCGTGGGACTCGCCGGTATCTTTATTCAGGTACATGCTCCTGACAGTATGAGACAAATTCGATTTAGTGTTAACCCACGTTTTAGAGGAATCCAGACTTTCTATGAGCACTGCGCTTGGATCGGATCTTATATCAGGCTCTATTGATGCATCACTGGCAGAGGTTGATTCAAGACTGCGAGATCCTGAACGGTCACTTGATGGTGACATTGTCATTGGACCCTTCGCGGTTCTCGATTTCTCTTCAGCACCAGAAAAGCCAGTGCACGAATTGGTACATGAAATTGAGCCTTCCAAGTCCGATATAAGTTCTGCAGTCGAGGCCGATGAGACTGTGGCTCTTGAGAAACTGCAAGAGCCTACTCTCTCTCCAATACTTGATTCTCTGTCTCAGATTGATGACTTCCTCCATTGGTCTGATCTATTGAGCTTTGGCCTAGAACAGACAGAATTTGCAACAAACAGTGCTTTGAGTATGCCGAATGATTTATCGTTTGATATGAGCCAAGAGATGGGATTGCTACCCGTTGACTCAAACCACAACGAGGATCTATTGCAAACTTTCACAACACCACAGACACCAGGAGAGCTTATTCCCGCCGATATAGATGCTCTTAAAGATGCACCGTGCCTGCTTAAACATTTCCAGGATATGGTGATTCCACACATAATGGCCATTCCATGTCGACAGAAGTCGCCTTGGAAGATTTTGAACGTGCCGGCGGCGGTGGTTACATATAGTGACTCGACCTTTCTTGGGACTGAAATGATCAGTCATGCCAAACTTGCAAACTTGTATGGCTTGCTCGCCTGTTCTGCTGTTCATCTTGTTTTGAACCCCTCGACAATATCGACAAAGCCGGCTGGGTATTGGTGGAAGGCTGCCAACCAGGCGTATCTGCAAGCTAAGGATCATATGCAAACATCCTTGCATTCAGAAACCCAGGGTTTAAGGAAAGCAAAGTATAAAGACCAGCTGATGGCTGCATGCATTCTCATACAGTACACGGTGAGCTTTCTATTTGACATCACTTGAATGACTCTGACTTTCACAGATCATGTCCGGCCAACAACAACACGCCCGATGTTTTATGATTGATGCAGAGCGGCTATTACGTCTTCGAGGACTCTCGAAGACCCGAATTTCGAAAAAGGCACGGCTTTTGCATCACGTCTACACCTGGCTAAGAATAGTCGGCGAAAGCACATTTGTTCTACATGACTACAACCTCTCTTCCTCCTCCTTCGAAGCACTTGGTTCTCGATTTCAATCACAACATACACCGAACTCGGAAGAAATGGGAAACACCGAGCCAAATCCCCGGCTGGACGATTTCCTCCGCCTCGAAACACAAAACTCAGATAGTGACCTGAATATCGATGAACCCAAGGACCAGACTTCGGGACTTCATGACATCCACCTCCAAGACTCACGAAGTTATCCTGAAACATTATATAAACAAATTTATGGCATCCCAGAAACCTGGCTTAGCCTTGTCTCGCAAACAACGAGACTTGCGAACGTCTTGGAGACATTCCGTGTTGCCCGTGACGCGGGTCAGACCATGAACCTGGAAGCATGGGAAACACTACAACGACGTAGTACGCGACTGGAGAATATGATCTGCTCTTTCAGCCTAGGCCGAACAAGAGCCGGAGTCCTGGAGCTCCACGCCGACTCAAAACCGCACGGTCATATGGTGGAGGCATTGAATGCGGCTCTAGTAATTTTCTTTTACAAACGAATCCGACAGACCCACTCTGCTGCTCTACAGGGTCATGTTGATAGTGTTATTACAGCTCTTCAAGCGTGCAGTGCTACGTTGACTCTAGATGACCCCACCGGGCCCGGGACGGCGTGGCCGTTGTTTATTGCAGGATGTGAAGCAATATCAACCGCAAGGCGAGAGTCAATCATGAGCCTATTGGATAGGGCGAGCTCGGTATGCGGATTTGCTGCTTTTGGAACGGCTAGAAATATTATAACTGAAGTGTGGCGCAAGCAGGATGAGCATCTGACTGCGAACCGGGGTGAATCGATGCCATCGTGGGTTGATACCGTCAAGCAAGCACAGACATGGCCCTTGTTTTGTTGACCCAGCTGGCTATTATCGTATTGACTATATTCTACATTTTGTATTACGCACGTTTATGACTCAATGACGAAGATGATTCCAAGATTGTATATTCAATAAAGTCCGTGGATAGTACATGTCACATTCTCATTCCGACATTCAAGCATTCCAAATAATCAAATCTAAACGGTCTTAACACCAGCATTCTGCAATAATTGCTTCAGTTCCGCCGTCAACTCTTGGTTGAGAAGAGCAAAAGGCTTGCGCAGACCACCAGTAGGCTGCCCAATCAACTCAACACCGGTCTTAACAGCCGCAGCATAACTATGAGTCTCAAGGAACTTGCAAATAGGCCAAGCCTTAGCCCAAATCTCGCGCCCAAGTTTCAAATCCCCCTTCACAGAAACAGCCTCGTAAAGCTCAACCGCCAACTCAGGAATAATATTCGCCGCACCCCAGACACCACCCGGTGCACCAGCAGCAAGACCATAGAAAGTCAACGTATCCCACCCATTAAACGAAGTAATCTGATCCGACAAACCAAAGATAAGCTCCGTCAGCGCCGGCGCATTACCCGAGGTATCCTTAAGATACTTAACGCCGACCTTAGACAGACCCGCAATCTCAGTGGGGGACAGCGTGATGCCAGACGCCGCAGGGATATTATAGAAGACGATGGGCAGGCCGGATGCAGTATGGATCTCGCCGAGCAGCTCGTGCAGCTCTGGCAGACTGACGGGGTCGTAGTACGGGGGCACGACCATTGTCGCTGCGGCACCGACTTGGGCGGCGTGCACGGAGAGCTCGACGGCCTCGGCGGATGAGAGACTGCCTGTGCCGGCGACGACGGGGACACGGCCGGCGGCGAATTTAACGCAGAGCTCCGTTAGCTGCTTGCGCTCGCCGACTGTCAGTGTGGTGAATTCGCCGGTGCTGCCGCCGGGGACGAGACCGTGCACGCCGGCTGTGATCAGGTGCTCGATGTGTGTTTGCAGACGGGCTTCGTCGATTGTGGTCTTGTCGTCTGTGAAGGGGGTGATGAGGGCTACTAGGATTCCATGGAGGGAGGCCATTTTGGAGGTTGGAGAGGTATAGAGTGAGGGAGAGATGGGTTGGTTGTTTAGTTGAGAAGCTAGTGAGTACGATTGAATGGGAGGAAGTGATCGTGATCTAGATATAGTTGTGCTGGTTATGGAATCTCTTACTGTTTCTATATTCATGATTCTGTTCATTCCGACATGTAGAGGAGTGACTTGCCTTATCGGGACGGGCTTCCTATTTAGGATGCATCACTATCATCGGAATGGAGGCAGTTGGCTTCTTTCTTTTCCGGCGATCCTGACTTCTAATTCTGCGTTCTTTTGTGTTCTTTCAAAATTGGGATTGTATAGTTATTATGTCGATAGTATCCCCCACGTTATCTAGGATTTATAAGGCTTCCCATGACCTGCAGATGGATAAAGCTAAGATCGTCTTATGCAGACTATTCCGTGATGAATAAATACAAACTGGTCTGGGACGTCACTAATAAATTTGCATGAATTCTGTACTACTGCACTGCTGTATTTCAGACTAGTCAAGGGTGTATCTCGCATGGATCTAGCGCTGCGGGGTCCTAATAAGGCTGTTGCATGTCATTGCATCTCCAACACCGGTAGGAGTATTTCAATAGTCAATTTACATCTACTTTGGATACTTTTTAGAGACCATAGGCATATATTTGGGGACTGACCAGGACTGATACTTAGTTAGAACCCATCTGGTTTCTGTAAACCAGACATCCTGAATATACGCTTCGTTGATTTTTCAGTTCTGTCGAACTTTTATACTAGTCTACTAGTTCGTTAAATTGAGAGAAAGAGAATCAGTATTTTATTTATTCTCTCCAGTAATATCACTAACGTTCACGGACCACGGAGAGTATGAGAGAGTATGAGAGTAACTAGGTATATCGGAAGGACTTGCCTGAAGGGGCTTAACCTCATTGGAGGATTGTCCTACAACATATATCACACCCCACGCGCCTTGAGACTTGGAATTCTTTTGAAACCGTTTAACTCAAGAACAACATGGATCTCTTCATTGATATCGTCACCCCCAACGGGCACGGCTACAAACAGCCTACCGGCCTCTTTATCAACAACGAGATTGTACCCGCCACAGGAGGCCAGACCATCACATCTTTTGACCCCGCGTATGTCTGTATCGGAATTACTCCGTATACACCCCGCTAACTAGTTATTCTCTAGCACCGACAATCCCATTGCCACAGTCCAAGCAGCGAGTGCCGAAGATGTTGACCGCGCCGTGAAGGCTGCCAAAGCGGCCCTGGTCCATCCTTCGTGGAAATTACTTCCTGCGACAGAGCGGGGCCAATTAATGACCCGACTCGCTGATCTCATGGAGGAAAACAGAGAGTTGTTCGCATCTATTGAAGCTTGGGATAATGGTATGCCTGAAAATAACCACACCCCAAAAATACAATTTGCTCAATCGAGTCAGGAAAACCCTACCACGTCGCCCTTGACGAGGATCTCACCGAGGCAATCTCGACCATCCGTTATTACAGTGGCTGGGCCGATAAGACCTTTGGCCAAACCATCAACACAACTCCCCAAAAACTCGCTTACACAATCCGCCAGCCCATCGGTGTGGTTGGCCAGATCATTCCATGGAACTATCCCTTATCCATGGCTACCTGGAAGCTTGGCCCTGCACTAGCATGCGGAAACACAGTTGTCCTGAAGCCAGCCGAGCAGACCCCCCTCAGCGCTCTCATTCTCGGTACCTTGATCCAGAAGGCCGGGTTCCCCCCAGGTGTGGTAAACATCGTCAACGGCTACGGGCGCGAGGCCGGTGCCGCTCTCGCCTCGCACCCATTGATCGATAAGGTCGCATTCACAGGATCAACAATAACCGCCCGGGAGATTATGAAGATGGCTGCTGGCACACTCAAGAATATCACGCTCGAGACAGGCGGCAAGTCCCCTTTGCTGGTTTTCCCAGACGCGGATATGGACCAGGCTGTCAAGTGGTCGCACGGCGGTATTATGTCCAACAAAGGCGAGATCTGCACGGCCACCTCCCGGATCTTTGTCCACCGCGATATCATTGAAGCATTCACAGCTAGTTACAAGACGGCAGTGGAGGCCGTGAAGATCGGCGACCAGTGGGACGAGTCTGTCTTCCACGGGCCGCAGGTGACGCGCGCGCAATACGATCGGATCCTCTCCTACTTTGAAATTGCCAAGAGCGAAGGCGCTACTATTCTCACTGGCGGTGGTGCACACACGCCGAGCGACGCGAAGAATAAGAATGGATACTTCATCCAACCTACCGTTATTGTCAACGCAACGGATTCTATGCGCATTGCCCGTGAAGAAGTGTTTGGTCCCGTGGTGGTGATTTTCCCCTTTGATGATGAGGAAGAAGCTATTCGTCGGGCCAACGATACCACTTATGGCCTGGGTGCATCTGTCTTCACGCGCGATTTAGAGCGTGCTCACCGTGTGGCCGCTGAGATCGAGTCCGGTATGGTCTGGATTAACAGTAGCCAAGACTGTGATCCACGCATTCCATTCGGTGGCGTGAAGCAGAGTGGCATTGGACGTGAGTTGGGAGAGGCTGGTCTAGAGGCATATAGCCAGACTAAGGCGGTTCATGTGAACATGGGCACCAGGCTATAAGGGCTCTGAAGTACATTGCACAATATAAATATGGACTTTTCCAAGCCGGCATGTTGTATTGTAGGTCCTGGGGTATTATTCACTCACTCATAAGTGAGGAGCTCCTCTCCGCCGCTCGTATGTGCATTGAGAAAAAGGATAGCTAGAGGGTCAGTAAAGAGTTCGATAGTGTATCATTTCATCTTCCAAGTATAACCTTATCTTCTACTGAGCCTACCGAGGCCAATTCAAAATTTTATAAGAATCTATTAATCGATATGTATAATCTATGCTTGACGATGTATATTGCTATTGACAGAGGAAGAGAGGAACACAAAGCTGAGCACACTCCTGGCTATCAAAATCTTTCCAAATTTTATTTACAATATCCTTGGCTGCAGATAGACCGGGGTAAACTTTTCCCTCAGTCTTCGTATCGACCGGTGTCAATATTAGCCTCAATTGACTTCACGAATTTTGTGCGGAAAGCAATTTTGTGGCCAAAGTATAGTACCGCAAACAATATGAGACTGAGGTAGTTGATGAAAAAGTCCGTGACGCTGAAAGTTGGAATGAAAGCAGTAAAGCCTTGGGTGATAATGATAAGGATGTTGAAGAACAAGCCATACCAAGAAAAGAATGGTTGCCAGGTAGCCTTGTAAGGAAGGCTATCGCGCGATATGCCTCGCGCTTTCAACGCTTTCATAAATGCCAGGTGAATAACGTTTAGGGATGCCCAAGTGATAAAGCCAGCTAAGCCAGCAATTTGCATCAACCAGTTGAAAACAGTAGCACCCGTGTTCGACAAGTTAAGGAAGCCCAGTAGACCGAAAAGAGCTGTAAAGCCAACGCTACCATATGGTACACCGTGCTTAGTTGTTTTGGCGAAGAAGGGAGGAGCAAAGCCCTCGTTAGCCAACCCGACGAGAATTCGACTGCCACTGTAAACATTGGAATTGGCAGCGGAGAGGACGACGGTAAGTAGAACCGCATTAATAATACTCGGTAAAGCATTAACACCAGCTCGTCGTGCGGAGATAACGAAAGGGGACGAGTTTGCATCTGCACCGTTGCTTTCTCCGAGATTCTCGTCATCAGACGGGACGACAATTCCGATAAAGAATACTGTGAATATGAAGAAGAACACAATTCGGAAGAACGTCTTGCGGATCGCGGAAGGCACATTCTTCTTCGGGTCGGCGGTCTCACCCGCGGCGATACCAACAAGTTCGGTGCCTTGATAGGAAAATCCGGCTTTAATAAGAATAGCCCAGAATCCGACAAACTTAGCCAGAGCGTCTTGTCCTTCGATCAAATAAGGAACGAAAGGACCGGGGTGAGTCCAGTATCTAAATCCTAGATAACCTTCCTGGCCCACTCCGGCATTCATGCAAATGGCGAATATCATGAATCCGACGACGGTGATAAGCTTGATACTCGAGAGCCAAAACTCGATCTCACCGTAACAATTTACGGGAAACATATTCATAACAATGATAACAACCCAGAAAACCGCAATGAAAACAGCCATCGGAACTGTATCATCCCAGAACTGAATTATAAGGCCTGTCGCCGTTAATTCAAGGGCAAATGTTGCAGCCCACGAAAACCAGTAAATCCAGCCCATTGCGAACCCCAGACTAGGATCAATAATGCGATTGGCGTATGCTGCAAAGGCTCCTGGGATAGGTAGGTAGGTAGCGACCTCACCTAGGGCCGTCATCACCGAGTAAACAATTGATCCGACAAAGGTGTAGGCAATTAGTGCACCCACTGGACCAGCAGTGGCAATTGCAGTCCCGGTACCGATGAAAAGACCTGTTCCGATAGCACCACCTATATAAAGAATGTGAGTATTTAACTCCAAGAAGAGAAAATGCATTTGGGGTGCTTACCCATCGCGATCATCTGCAGATGTCGGCTTTTCAGCCTCCGCTGCAACTCCGGTAGTTGATGAGATTCTCCATGGCTGTGTTTTTCTTCGGCATCGAGATCTCGATTTGCGGAGTCTTCCGGATTTGATGTCTTGATATCTTTCTCGTCTGTTCCAGAAGTGTTATATATATCGGGGACCCCGTCGGTGGTCATTTCTGGGTATTTCGGACAGGTTGTGAAGCTGAGGAGCGATAGAAGTTGGAATTGGGTCAATTCCCAATCTATTTCAGGAGGATTGACACATTTGTAGTTCTCAATCGCGTTGAACTTCCCAAAACGGTTTCTCCACGGGGAAGATCAGGCTGGTCAGGCTTGGGGACCCCGCGTTTGGCCGGGCCGGGACACTTTTCGGGTTCCACCACGGGGGGCCGAAGGAGCGAATGTAAGCGAATGATTTTGCGGGTCCGTTCAAGGAATTGCTAAGCTGTTGGAATTCGATTAGGTGTAATCAGCAAGACTTGATCTTGGGTGGCCACGAACAAACAACCCCACTGATTAAGCTAATTGTCTCCTCGCGTATAACGTAAATTGCCGATATAAACCGGCCCGGTGTGTCCATCCCGCATTTTCCATTACCCCATGTTTTCCTTCAGATAATAAAAATGTATATGTTGTAGGAAAGCGCACCTGCTGCCCTATCACTCGGTTCAAGCGGGGATCAGCTGAATCCTGTTTCCATGGTAAGCTTCCAGGTTTGTGTATCCCGCGTTCTGCAGGTCCAAGTCGTCGAAGAATATCCACAATGCTTTCCTCCCGATAGTAAGGCAAATTTAGAGACCAGCCCATAAGAGCGTAGTCTTCACCTTCCCGAATCATGCTTGGGATATGAAGGAGTATAAATCACAGCTGGGGGGATTTTCTGATTATTGTATCGTGCAATCACACATCTGTAGCAGTTGATCGTAAAAGCCATTCGAGACAATGTGTCTAATGGGCTATACTAGGTATATCATTTCGGTGGGATCTGTCCACGAGTCTAGGAAGTGTGCATATTCTCAAGATGTTGCTGAACTGGGCAAAACGTGTTGAATCGGGGGATTAGGAAGTGAATGAGAATAGAAGAAGTTTAAAGAGCTGACACTGAACGGTTTCATCTTCACATCCAGATAAGTACATAATCGGTCTCTAGATGACCTCCATTCTACCTGCTCTTTACCAGCGGATTTGAGAAGGCAAGGAATTGGCCTAACCTAATTCAGCAAGGTCTCTGCAGGTTTCAATATTTTGTATAGTATAACCGCAGTAAAACGACACAGCATCCGAGCCTCTCTAGCCACAAAGTACTTCCATGATCAGCTGCTGGACGCCTCCAGAGCTCTATATTTCTACCACCAAATCACCTGACCTAGATAGGGCTGATTCGCTAGGGTTAACTGAGGCTGTAAATGGCAATCCAGCCTATATATAGTAAAAGCTTCACTTTTCTACTCATTTTCGACTGCAATATATATTCCCACTACCTTAAATTTCAATATATCTCTGGGCATATCCCAATCATATGCCTACCAACTGCCTACCAACATGGCTCCCAACCTGTCTATACTATAAGTGAATGGGTTGGTTGGTAGGCAGGTAAGTTGGTAAGTATATGATGTGGGGGTATGTATGCTCGGCCGAAGGCATCGTACGACTGAGGCTCGCAAGCTGTGTTGTTTTACCATAGCTATAGCGTAATAATTGTCACCGTATTGGTGCTTACTACATACACCAAAGCGGGTTAGAGGGTGGTATTTTACCCATAAAATCATGTGATAACTTCATGTGATAACTGACTGGTACTACCTAGGTAACTAACTAAAGCATACAGTCCGAGCATAATACAGTTAGTTATTGATGTCCTCTCAGATTGTTGAAATAGCGGGGTTTGTCATTTTAGTCAGAGTTGTCAACATCTGCCAGTTGTACCATACATTGCAATAGACAGATTTCTGTCATATCCGATAATATATAAATTAACTACTCCGTACTCCGTACCCCGTACATTAGTACAACCTGGAATCCTTCACGAATATCTAGCCGAAAGTATGTTTGGCCAAAGAACGCCCCAAAAATAAACGGCAACCCCCCCCATTTCTTTGAAAGTACTTAAGTCTCTTACACGTCTCATCGTGCAATTACCAGAACCCCACGGACCTCAGCTCAACATGTCATGCCCCAATTGTTTTAACGGTCATATCCACCAAGGCACTCCCCGTGGGGAAGTCACCTCTCTTTATGGTTTACAGGTTTACACGACGAAACCTCAAGGCGATGTACCTCACCGGGGCATTATTATCATAGTGCCCGACGCCTTCGGGTGGGAGTTTGTGAACAACCGAATCTTAGCTGACAACTACGCGGAAAAGGGGAAGTACCTCGTTTATCTTCCTGACTTCATGAACGGTATGTGCTAGTGTCAACAGGGCCCCCAAAGGATAACTCATTAACCGTAATATTAGGCCACGCGGCCCCAGCTGGTATGATGTCTGCCACAAAAGAGGTGCTGAAGACGAGCGGACTCACAACCTGGCTTATGAAGCCGTAAGTTGATCAAACAACAAACGCCTGCGTCGCGCTTGTATAACACAGCCACTAATCCAAGCTATAGGTACTATCTAGCCTCAATGCTAACAAGAATGGTGCCCTTCATGTACCACAATACGTTCAAAGCATCATGGCCTATCGTGAGGGACTTCTTTAAGTCTGTGCGCGAGAATGAAGCCGCCGAGCTTCCTATCTACGGAGCTGGTTTCTGCTGGGGTGGAAAGCATATCGTCAATCTAGCCGCCGGAGTAGACATTGCCTCAAATGGAAAATTACTGCTTAATGCTGGGTTTACCGGCCATCCTAGCCTTCTCGAGATTCCCAACGAGATCGAGAAAATCAAAATCCCCGTGAGCTTTGCGCTTGGGGACAAAGATATAATTGTGAAATCTCCACAGATCGAACAGATCAAGCAATTCTTCGCCAGTGACTCGGGTTCTGGGAAAGGAGAAGTGGTCGTTTATGAGGGTGCCGGCCATGGCTTTTGTGTCAGGGCTGATTTTGTTTTGGACGATGCGAGTAGACAGGCCGATGAAGCGGAGAACCAGGCACTGGCCTGGTTCGAAAAATATTAATAGTTTGGAGAAACATTGAGGTTTTTTATTTAGAATCTTCCAATGCGAGAACAAATGATGATCATCAGTGCAGTTCAGAACAGTTATAGAAGGCATTACGAATAAGCAGACGATCAGAGAATGAACGGGCCACTTCCCTCTTTCGAAGAACAAGTAAAGATCTTCACCAGCGGTATTGCAATTAACACTGGCTGGTTTAAGTACAAAGTATACTGTTCAAACCAAATACCATAGTCTCGATCCCGAGTGAGAAAATAGCCCATACAATAGCTATAATGATTGCCAACATCTATGATATCTTCGCAAGGTGTTGCAGAGCGTGCGGCCAGCTCCTAGGAACAAGATTTGTAGTTGAGTAACTAACTAGTTAAGAATAGTTGTACATGTAAGAGGCCAGTTGGGCAGGTGTGGTTGTAACATGAACACAGCCACATATAACACCGCCTCAATGTGGCTATGCAATTGACCAATCCAAACAACAACACAACAAAACAACACAACACCAAAACAACAAAATAATCTCCCAGCTGCCCAGTGTCCCACTGACGTGGTCCAAGTTCTAAGTGGAGAATATGTAGCCTAGAAGCTCACCGCAGGTCATGCCGCCTAGTCTCTCTTTTTTTTTTGCCAATTGTTTCCTGTTCAATAAGTTCATATCGCACCAATATATTTCTTTGTCTTCATTGGTTTCATACATGCCTCAGATTTCAAACACTCCAGAATCTTTGCTTCCTCGCTCAGATTCTCGAAACCCAGCGACAACATGTAGAGGCATAACCGCCCAAGGCCGGCCCTGCCGCCGCTCTTTGGCATCTCCAAATCCATCGCCTGCTTCTACTCCCCGAAAGAAGGATCCTCGCCAGGAAGCTATAGATGCGGCATCTTTGTACTGCTGGCAGCACAAAGATCAAGATTCATCAGTGAATCCACATACGACTGTCCTCACTCCGTCCAAGACGAGGACAAGCATCGATACATTAATGGGTCGACTGGGTGTGCTCGAAATAAACGATGACCCAGTCTCTCCAAAGCCAAAGCCTCCCCACAAACGGTGGGCAAATCAAAGCAGGCCCAGTCAAAAGCGCCGACCGAAGAAAAAGACCACCTTTTGCTGTTTCCAGATCGTGGAAGACAGCGGCGAGGACGACAGACCGGCCTCAGTCCAACGGCCTAAACCCCCTACAAGTGGTGTTTCGCCTTCCTCAAATCCGAATCAAAAGATCAAACTGCCCGCCTCAGCCGGAAGGCCACAGCATACGCAAGTGTCACCAACTCCAACATCCCGACCATCTACGGGGAAGCCTTCACAGCCCTTATCGTCGTGGATCCCGTCTACAGTTTCCCCGCAGACAACATCCACTCTTGTAGCAGAACTGGCCAAACCGATCTCTAGCGCCGACGACGAAGGCTATATCTATATGTTCTGGGTGACACCCCAAACAACTACCACACAACGGAGCGCTGAATCCACATCAACGCGAGACATAGCATCTTCCCCACTACCCCAATCCCCACAAAGTAGCAACCATCTTCACCCACCCAGCCAGCCACGCAGCGTCAGTGAGGCAATCCGTGCAGCACGGGACCTCAATGCCCTCACCTCAAACCCAACATCAACCACGGCCGGAACGCTTAGGCTGAAGATCGGACGCACGAGCAATGTACACCGTCGACTCGCTGAATGGAGTAAACAGTGCTCGTACGACTTGACCTTGATCCGTTATTACCCTTACACGCCATCGTCATCCTCGTCATCTTCCCCTGCTAGGGTGGTGCCATCCCAAAACAGCCGCAATAGGGCGCCTTCGGCCTCTTTAGTAGCTGGAAGGAAAGTCCCGCATGTGCATCGCGTGGAACGACTCATTCACCTTGAGCTGGCAGATCTGCGCGTGCGAGACTTAGGACAGTGTCCTGAGTGCGGGAAGGAGCATCGGGAATGGTTTGAGGTCGAGGCTGAGAAGGAGTCCCTAAGGAGAGTGGATGAATGTATCCGACGATGGGTCTCCTGGGCCGAGTCGATTCCTTGACGCCTTGATACTGTAATCCTATATACTCATCTTGCGCATCCTTTTTGTCTACATATATAATCGTCTTCGTACACATTCGGAGCTCCATTCTATATATCAAACTCGACTGCGGAACTGTTTAGGGAAAAGTGCTTATATTAAAAGTCATGTATAAGGCGTGGACAGTACGATTGATAAGCGGGCCCTTTTCCTGATCTCACTTAGAGGACCGGAATCGGGTCTACCAAGATGGCCCATTCGGACAAAAAACTGTGCACCTTGTGGAGAATTCTGCGGCCGTATCTTTATGCCCGAATAGACCGAATATGTATGGGATGCATGTGTTTCAACCTATTTATCTACACCTATTTATTTATTAGTTGATCTATACCTTCCGCTTCACCAGCCCACGGAAGAAGTCGAAGCTGTTACTATCACTCTGTAACTGCCACACGCGTCCGGTTGGACGATCATTCCATCCCAACTCCTCGGCCAGCAAAAGGCCCCAATCACGGGTGATACCCTGAATGCGAGCGCGAGCACCGCCCTCCTCTTCTAGCGTGACAATCTGGTGCATGTGTAGCCAGTCTTCATAATACATAGCCTCGAAACCTCGGTCAAAGCCTGTGCGCAAGAAGCGGGTATACAGGCTTTCGAAGGTAGTCAGAATACGAGCAAGGAGCCTCTCGAGCGTGACAGGTGAAGCGGTAGCAGCGCCCGGCGATGCGTAGCGCGCGGCGAGAGTGGTCAATGCGGTTGTCGGAGAGGCGTTGGTGGCATTGACACCGATACCGACGACGGAGATATACTCGTTTGACATGAAATGAGAGTTGATAAGAATACCGCAGATTTTTGTGTACCGTTTCTGTTCGGGATCATCTGGATCCAGTGCATCTGTGGAGATAGACCATCCATCAGTAAACCACCCTTATTAATATAATAAACCACCCGAGACTTACAAATATCGTTGGGCCATTTCAGCTTGACGGGGATCTTCTCGTAGCCTTTGGCGTAGTTCTTGATTCCCCGGACTACTGCCATAGCCGATAGATACTGAAGGAACACAACCGGTGCCGACTGAATCTTGTCCATAGGGTGTCGCACCACAGTTGAAAAGATTAGAGAACCTGCTGGTGAGACCCAGACGTTAGATCCGCGTCCGCGTCCGGCGATTTGTGCTGTAGCCGTAGCCGTAAATCCTTGTGGCAACTGACGAAGCAGCTTCGTGTTCCTGATACTCGTTAGAGCGGACCCATACCAGACTTATTGACCAAAAACTCACTTTTCAAGAATTGTGTTCGTGCTAGTCACTACCTCTCCATATAAGAGATTGGAGCCAAATGTTGTGGCCTCTCCCTTAGACTCGGATTGGTATTGGCGGAGATGGGAATAGAATGCATGGTGGTTGAAATATGGAGTGAGTTTGGAAGATGGTATATCATCGTGGAACACAAGTCGCTTGATGATTGCCTGGTAATCAATTATACCCTCGCTAGGCTCCGACACTGCCGCGGGAAGTGCTTCTTCTAGTCCACCAAGATTCCATGTTCCAGGACGTTGAATGCGGAACGTATCGTGTTCGTCCTTGAGACACTCGGTCTGACCTTCTTGGGTGAATGCAGCTCCAAGTCCCGACAGGATATCCATAGGACCGTCAGCATCGATTCCAGACACGTGCAAGGACGACAGTGAAGGCACTGTTGTCGTGTCCTGTGTGACCTCGAGTCCAAGTTTGGACAAGCACGCCTTCAAGAAGTCCGTCCGTTCCTTGTCATCGGCAGCGAGCGCCGCCACCATATCCGCATATTCAGCGCCGCCCGCTTTCGGGTCCAGATTAACAGCCGCAAATCTAGTTCGTAAGTTAGTGGCTCAATCAATCCCGCCAATTGAAATCATTGAAATCCAAAACATACTCAGGATGAGGTCCGGTCAGGACTGCTCCTCCATTGCCGACTTTGCAGTATACAACAGCAGCCGCGCCCTCCCCTCCATCGACATTCAACTTTTCAGTATAGCTCGCAAGAACCTCTACCCCTTTGTCTGCGAGCGTCGACGCATCAACGAAGACACCACCGCCATTGTAGTACGACCGGAAGGTGCTTGGCACGGTGCCGGTGCCAGTGCTTAGAGCATCCTCAGCCACTTCGATCTCCGCAGCGCGTGCCCCCGCCTCGCTATGGTAAACAAAACCCGGGAATGCCCCGCCCCGACAGATGCCCGGATAGAAAGCCAATTCGCGATCTCCAATGACCTCCATTGTCTTATCGCCAACCTCGAACTCACAGCCCTTGCATCCGTAGTAGCCACCAGCACACAGACCGAGGTACCGCCCGCCATTGCGGACAAACTGCGTGATGCGCCGGTTCCCCGCACCATTGAGTGTGCGACAGTATCCCATATCCGCGCCGCCGGGCATAACTAGCATAGCGCACGTAGTCATCCATGGCTCCTTGAGGAGCATATCGCCCGTCACAGGTATAACGGCATAGTGGTGGGCGAGCAGGCGGCGGAGGGTGTAAAGGCAATGACGGACTGAGTCAACGGTGGTTCCATTTCCTGTTGAGAAGTCGTCGGGTCAGAAAAGGACTGAGGTACCAGGCTGAGGAAAGTGAAGCGAACCGGTATAAACTAGGACATTGAGCCTTTTGCCACTGAAATTGGCGTTATTGCCCGTTGGCGTTGTCATTGTTGTTTCGTTGCAAAGGGAAATGAGCGCGATAAGATACTAGTTCTCCATCTTCCGCCGAGGCCAACCGCCTTTCTCCAACTTTCCTTATTACCATACCTCAACCATGTCGAACAACGTGGAGAAGACAGCTGTTATTCCGGATGACGATGAGCCGGATGATTGGTGAGACCATTTTCAATTGCCTGGTCTGCGTGGTGCTAATTGAAATGGCAGGGACAAGCGGATCTTCAGCACAGGCTGCCATAGTATGTTATACTCAATCAGAGTCACAAACGCCATACTAACACATATCAGCTGAGCAGGATAAGATGAATGACTGCTACTATGCAAAGAAGGACTGGCGCGAATGCAAAAAAGAGGTGAGCTATAATATCCGCCAAACCGAACATATATCATTCCACCTAAAGCCATTGGAAGGCCAGTTCTGCTGTGATCGTCATTCCACTCCTTCAAAGACCAATGAATTGAGAAACAACAACACATAGCTCCAATTACCCAGATCATACTGACTCTAATCAACACAGATGGAAGCTTTCCGCGAGTGCTGGAAGCGCCAGGGCAACGATCAGCGAACACAGACCAAAGACGCATAATGTACCCTACTCATGTATAATACCATGTTCAAATAGTCTCTTCCAATCAATCCCACTCAATATATATACCCGATTATCCCAATATTGACAGAACGAAGCTTTCAAATCTACATCACGTGATCGTATATATTCACCTCGTTGCAAGACCTCCCCCTGGACCTTTCCCTATCAACAATACAAACCACGATGTCTGCTCCTCTCCGTATCCGGCCCTGGCGGGTAATTGAGACCCTCCAAAATGCGACACAGCTTTCGCGCTCCTCAAGAGCCCCCAATCCAAGAACCAGCCAGCTCTCCAGCCCAATGACCAAAAGAGCTATCAGCTACACGACCAAGAACCAGAACAACCAACCCACCGCCAAACCCCCACCCTCATCCTCGTCCTCTACCGCAAAGCCCACCCCCTCAGCTTCAACACCTATCCCAACCGGCGTCCCCGCATCCCGCGTCCCAGGCTCAACCCCCAGTCGCGCAACAACCGAAAACATCTCCAAAAGCGGCCTATCAGACAAACCCCTCGAGCTCGAGCGCCCAACGGAAGATAGAATCGACTGGACGCGCTCCTTCCACGGCTTGTCTGCCGAGCCATTCCCCAAAGAAGCGGCCGATATCCTGCTCGCGGAGACGGAGCCCGACGAGGTCGAGATCAAGCCCGATGGAATCCTCTACCTACCGGAGATCAAATACCGACGGATTCTCAACCGCGCTTTCGGGCCTGGTGGGTGGGGTCTCGTGCCGCGGAGCGAGAGTATCGTTACGCCGAAGACGGTGACGAGGGAGTATGCTCTTGTTTGTAATGGACGGTAAGCTTTGCATTTTCCCTGTTTTCTTTTACAATCTTGCAAGCTTGTCTACCAGAGAAGCAGAACAAGACAAAAAAAAAAAAAAAGAACACACCCAGCTAACACACTTCTCTTTCTAGTCTCGTCTCCGTCGCCCGCGGCGAACAGGACTATTTCTCCCCAGACGGCATCCCCACCGCTACAGAAGGATGTCGGTCGAACGCGCTCGTGCGCTGTTGCAAGGATCTAGGCATTGCGAGTGAACTTTGGGACCCGCGCTGGATCCGCAAGTACAAGGCTAAGTACACGCGCGAGGTATTTGTTGAGCATGTAGTTAATAAGAGGAAGACTAAGATCTGGACGCGGAAGGATGATCCTGTTGGATATCCGTGGAAGGAGAGTGGTGCTAAATAGGGTGGTTAGGAGAGTTGGATGGCGTGGCTAGGCTTTTACCTGGACTCTGTCAGACTTGTATTATAGAAATCTGTATCTGATATGTGTTGGATTATGGGAATATTATCTGTTTCTCTACTCGGTATTTCGTTGAAGTACTTCTATCATGGGTTTCTCTGGAAGTATTACCTATATAAAAATATGTATGAAGCATAACTCACATGTTAGATAGATCCCAGGTTCAATACCTTTCTGTCCCATGTCCCATGTCATATGCCTATTATCTCTATTGTTAGTTTCGAGCCATCTAGATACCGTACGTAGTAATATAGTAAACACCACAGTAGAATCGTCTTGAAACATAAAGTAGATTTGATTTTAACTCCCCTAAAATCGGAATAGCATAGTCATAGCCGCACGCCAAAGGGCATAAATTGTTATGCGGCTCAAAAACGTAGAGAAACGAATCTATCGACATCATACACATAATATGAACAACCCAGGAACGAAAAAGAAAAAGTAGGTAGCCAAGAACGGGTAATCAAGAAAAGGTCAACGATACAAAAAAAAAAAAAAACAAGGAGAAAACAATCAAGTCTCATGCTCCCCATATGGAGACTTATCCTTCTTCCTCAGCGGGGCAGTATTGTAAGCCGCACCCTGCTGCGAGATCGACGGCTGGGGCGGGGAGTAGATAGACGGCGGGGAGACGGGGTCATATCGATCCGAGAGCTGGTAATTGCTGGCCGCGGTCACACCAGAGATATTGGGATTTGAATCGCGCCGGTCGAGTGCCGGTGTGTTCTCAACACTGTACCCGCCAACCGGAATCTGATTGTATCCCGTGTCGTGGGAGTAGTAGCCGCCGCCGTTGAAGGGGTTAGGGTCTGGTGACCCAACCATCTGGACGGTGCTCTGGGTTTGGTCCTGACCCGAGTGAGGACGGGGCTCGTAGCGGGCGCTGTGACGGGAGCCTGGCTTGGGGGTTTCGAGGATGGGCACTTGGCTTGAGGATGGGGTCATGCCGGCGGGGACTGGGGAGAGAGGAGCGTTTCTGGGCGCATCGTGCTCGTTGTAGGAGACGTGATCGCCGAGCTTGCGGTGGCCGGTTGACAGGCCGCGGTTGAGGCCTCCACTTCCGGCGTGCACGTTTAGCTGCTTGCCTTGGTTGGAGGCGTTGGTGGAAGTACGGTGGAGGGCGTTCTCGTGATTATCGTAATTGTCGCGGCCGGAGTCGACGGTTGGGGAGCGGGCGTTGAGCAGTTCTACAATGGCGGCTTCGCGCTCGGCGTTGGTATGAGTTGATCCGCGGTGGGTGATTGTTCCGGAACTGGCCCGGTTGTATCCTGTCGATTGGGCTATGTTCTCGTGGTTGAGGATACCCGCGGCGGCAGCGGCGACACCGGGGTTGGGCTTAGAAGAGTCGGCACCGCCGCCCTGAGTAGACTGGCGGCGACCTGCACCTGCACCGGCGCCGGCATCATCACCCTTGTCATCGCCCTCTGCGGCGTCGGCAGTTTCTTCTTCGGGAAGATCAACACCTGGGCCGCGAACCTGGATCTTGCGGACAGCTAGGACCAAAGCACACAGGAACTTAGATCGTCGGGCAGCGCGAATCGTCTCATTGGACCAGTTAGACTTATGACGGATGTCAACGCGCAGCTGGAGCTTGTCCATATCACCGACGCCATCGAGCTCGATGTCAATATCCGGCTGGAAGTCACGGTTGTTCTCCTTGTCGCGGACGAATTTCTCCATCTCCTCACGCAGCAATTGAACCTCGGCGAAGCTAGTGTCGAAGGCCACAGGGATGACAAGCTGTTCGTGCATAGCATTGGCGCGAGTAAAGTTATCAACCCAGAGACTATTTAGAATATTGTTAGGCACCTGCGTAATACGGGAATCGGTGACATTGCGGAAGACAGTGAAAAGCAGCGAGATACGCTCAACGACGAAAGGTTTGTCGCTGACTTCGACACGATCGCCGATATCGAAGGGATGCTTGACGAAGAGGAAGATGCAGGAACCGAGGACTTCTTGGGCGGTAACGGAGAAGACGAAACTCAGGGAGAGCAGCGAGGTGGCACCGGCTGCAATGACAGTACCGAATCCAGTGGTCACGAAGGAAATGAAGACAAGAACACCAACCAGACCAGCAACACACATGAGCAGGTTGTCCAGCACACGGATAGCCTGGTCGACATCGTGCATGCTGTGGTTCAGGGCCTTTCTCATGCGTCCAAACTCAGTGATGGTCAGGACCATCTCGTCAAGACTGATATCACCATTGCCATCCCTGTCAAGAGCCATGAAGCACTCCTCGGCCTCAGCCTCGTGCTCAGCACCTAGGACTTCAACGATATCATCCATGAACAAAGACTCACGGCCCTCGACCACAAACGACATCCAGATACGACGGGCCAGGGCAGCAGCGTGGCGCTTGCGCTCGAGGGCCTCGATAACCATGGTGTGCGTCGAAGTCGGGTTAAACACTTGCTTACCAGTAAGCTCCGACGCGACGTGTCCAAAAGCGGCGGTGACTTTGTCACCAACACGACCGACATTCTTGCCTACTTGACGGAGCATGCGGAGGGGCATAGCGGATGACCGCTTGCCGCCATTGGTGCCAGCCTGAGCCAGGATGGAGTCGAAAATGAGCGAGTCCTCCTCCTTGAATTCAGCGCAGTACACGGGGAACATATTGCGCGAGGCCTCGAAGAGGAGAGAGACCAAGTGCACATTGCGCTTGGAAACCTGGATCTTGGCGTCGAACTGCTTGCGGTGGTAACTGATCGAGATGAGCTGCACAAGGGCCTTCTCGGCCAAGTAAATGATGCTGCAGACGAGCAGCGCAAATAGAATATTCTTGATGGTCTTCTCCCACGCCTTGACACCCGTGTCACCGGAGTCCTGCTTACCAGGATTCAACGTCATAACCGGCAGGAAGGTCACGAGAGAAACAATAGCCCAAATCAAAAGCGCAATGGGGGTTTCGAGGGCGCGCAGAATAAGCGCATACTTGCGGGTGCCGGAGCTGACGATACCGCACAAGAACTGGAAGAAATAAGGAATGTAACGGGCGAAGACCTTGGCCGCCCACAGGCTGACCCAGACGATCTCAATCCAAGTAAAGAACCAGTAGAGATGAACACCACCAATTTTCGCGTTCGTGGCGACAGTAGCGCCAACAATGATTGGAATCGCGATCAAGATCCCGATGGGAAAAACATAAATCAAGTAACGAGTGATGAGGGAGTAATTCAGGACAGCTTGGTAGAAACGGCCCATACGGTTGATAGTACCGTCCTCGGGCGACTCAGCAGGCTTTCCAGACAATTCATTGATATCAGTATCCGTACGACGCCTGCCGCCAGGACCCCGATGATGATGGTGGCCAGCGATAGGTGCCTTCTCGGTCTGCGAGGCCCCGTCCTGGGGGCTGGTATTGGTGTTCCATTTACGGGCACCCGTTTGGCCACGAGAAGTCGTCTCTGTGAGCGGGATATCAATGGTCACGTCGTTGGGATTCAACATCCCATTGCCATGGCCCGGCATGTCGTGTAGTTGCTCGAATCGGTGAGCCGTCAGTCGCCTAGTGGAAAGACTAAGACTCGAACGCCCCATCGTAAGGAGCTCGGAGGCCAGGCAAAGCCTTTATTGTGTCAATGCAGATCCACTCCTAAACCAATTGGTTCGATTGCGGAGGTGACTTTCGTATGGTGGAGACTCGGGGAAAAAAAAAAAAAAAAAAACAGTCCTGTTACAGCACACCAACGGGTGGTAGCCCTGCTGTTTTTTCGCCTCCCCCTCGCCAGGTGAACCAACAATTTCCACGCTTTTTCTTTCCTCTCGCGATAGCTGTCAGGTTATGGGTGGTATAATTGGCGGACCAGTATGCACTGAACTTTGGCAGTCGATCGTTCAATGTTAATGGTCAAGAAGTAGGTGGAGATGTGGATCGGCGAATTGGGTGCTCTAGTGAGAGATCTAAAAGCCGTAAATGTACAATATGTACGGAGTACTCCGTACAGTAAATGAATGACTAAATCCAAGAGAGTGTCAAGTGTAAGAGAATTAAAAGAAGGAAAAAGGAAAGTCTTCAATTAGAAAACGCGAACCCATATACGTGTGTTTCAGCAGGACCCGTTGGGGGAAACAGGGCAAAAATGTGAGACCGCCCTCTTTTCCCCCTGTGGAATCCTTTCCAGCCTCATCATTCGTTGTTTTTTTGCTTCTTAGTCTGTGTCCTTATATTATCGATCGACTCTAGAACTATCGGAGACCCTCTTCTTCGTTTCGCCTTACAACACACGGACTCCGTATTCCCCCTGCAATCTACAAAGTACGTGACTTATCCTCGAACAGGATCAAGCAACGCGAATTCCGACATGCAGGTCCACTACCCCCCACACGTCAATGTGTCTGATCATCCCGAGGTCCAATAAACAGCTCACATCGTCGGGTGGCTTAAGATCAAACACAGTCTATGGAGTATTCGGTTAGCCAACGGAGAATAGGAACAAAAGGCTGATTCTAGATGCAACACAAGCACGTAATGTACGGAGCATATTGTATTTAATTTATTTATAGAGCGTGGGGGCTCAAAACCAACCCCGATTTACGCCCTCGAGTCAACATGCATCTTCTCCAGCGCAGTAACAACCTGCTTCCTATCCCAACCACCCTCCAACCCCCGCATAACAATATCCTGTTCACTCTCCGGCGCCATACCACTCAGGGCCGGCGGTCTCTGATCCAAATTCGTCGGGAAAGGATACCCCTCAGCAACAGCCTGCACAAAAGTCCTAATCTCCCTCTGCTTTAACGAATGCGTCTCAGGATCAAGTTCTTGTCCGGCCAAAACACCCCCAGCGACGCGGAACCGCTCAACCAGTAAATCCCAAGTGACATCAACAAGCGGGATAAAATCAACAGTCTCCATAGGCTTCCCAAACGCACTACTAATCTGCAGCAAGTTTGCAACACGTCGGAAACCCCCGTTCTGAGGATCCATCTGATTC